GGCGACGACAAGGCAAGGGAGAGGATGAACAGCACGAGTCCATCTGCTCGAGCGGTAGTCCGGAGGAGTTTGAAGCACTGTGGCAGCAGACGCCATTCGGTGCGGCACAGAAGAAGTCAGTGAAATGCCAGCTGCAGGCCGAGTCGGACGTCGGTCGAGACATGACACCGTCGATGACACCTGCGCCGCTGGCAGACACTACTGTCCATGAAAAGTCAACGGAGATGACATCGACGGAGAAATGCGCGGAGGTAGAGACAGAAAAGAAGCACAACTTGTAGTGTCCACCCCCCACGATTGAACAATTGAGCGGAGGTTTGTTCTTGTGAAGAAGAAGCATTCGTTGGTGTTACCATTTGCATTGATGCGCTCAAGCGCCGTCTGTCTCCAGGCAAGCTGCGAGTCGATACACTTGTCTGCATCGGACGGTATCCTCAACCGATAAGGACACATAGGAGTATCGAGATACGCGTTTACGAGTGTAAATGAACGAGACGTCCGACTTTTGGGTACCCGTTCATGAGAAGCTTTTTTTCGCTTCTGGTGTCTCATCCAGTTAAGCTGCAGGATAGGAGGTTGTGGAGTGTTGAATTGTAGGACCTGAAACGCCTTGTGATACGCTTCGAGATTGAAGAAGATATTGCAGCAGCAGAATATCGTGGACGTACATCGGTTCTGATCGTCATGTGTGGTATCCATGTGGTAACGATATCATGTTCCCCATTGTAACCTGAAAAGAAAGCACATGACAAATCAACAAGCGAAATCGGTACAAAGCTGCATCAAAACTCCTCATTACGTGAAAGCTGAATGCAGGATCGATCTATGTGCTGGCTTCGTCGTACATCATTGAACTCGAATGGATGGTTCATCTCGGTCAATAGGGTACAATCAACATGTATGAGCTGTAGATGGTGGCTGGATAAGATGTGCGAGCAGAAGTAAGTATCAATGTGGGGCACACAGTCATGAGATCGTTTTTCACTCGACTGGAAGGAAGTTGAGACGAAAGGATGTCCACAGGTGTGCTGCCGTTCATTCGTAGTGTATGCTATCATCACAGCGCACGCCAGTACATATTTGCCTGCCAGTGCACAGGTTCCAATGGCACGGCAACATATGATCCATGAACCACCGCAAGTACCACGTATCGACAATGGCCTCAACGACGACTGCACGAATGAAACCGGCAATGCTTGGCATCGTCGAGAGCATTAAGAGCAAAAGTGGAACCCAAAACATATTGACAAGGGTAATAATGTACACAGCTCCGATAGTGAAACTGTGGTTGACATAGCAACGTACCCGTCCACCGAATAGCGACCACATAGAACCGACTTCAAGGTCATGCTACCATGCAGTTTTGGAGAAAGTGTTGATTGAGTGGATGTGTATCACGGTTTCAATGAGAGCATCCGTGCTGGAAGTCGTGCTCACAAAGAGCAGCTTGGGTACGAGTCTCCACGGACAAGACGGACAGCGCGAGAGGTATGACTTGTTTTTTAATGTGACCACCTACTCTGCACTTTGTTGATCGACTGCGTTTTGATTCTTACCACGACGCTGTCGTCGCACACAAGGAAAGCGGCCGCAAAACGTCGCATCAAGAGGCACAGGAAAAACGCACATTGCGACCAGAGTAGATGACACGTGTCGACGGTACACTAAAATACGCAGAAACACTGCCTTCAATACTAATGAGGGATTGGTATTCAAAGAATGAACGAAGTCGTTGTTCCTCGACTACTGCTGGTATGGTCACAATGGCAAATGGGATATCGACGGTGGCTGACAAGCTACGGAAACTCGCGACTTCCACACAACATCTGATCCTCGACCTGAGCACCGTTGTGCATTCTTCTGAAGATGCGGGGTCCGCCAGAAGATCGTAATTCACGTGGACGACGGTACCCGCCGGAAGGGTGGTGTCATGCGCGTATAGTATCGGAAGACTGGAAGGACCATCGGTTTCGTCTCGACTTTCTAGTCGTCAGTGGAAAAGCATTCGCGAAAAAGAAGTTGAAAAAGACGGGAGTCGGTTCTAGAAAACAGCCACCTCAGGTGTATGACATTTTGAATCGGACTTGTTCAAACGCTACTTTCGACAACATTCGATCGAAGCACTTCAACATCATCATGATCGGTCTGCCTCTGTCTGCACGCCAAGAGAGCGGCGACCCACGTCCCCCTTCATTTCCCTATTTGCATCCAACCACACGATCGATCAGTAGCAACAACCCACACACGACAAAGTCACGCAACCATGTTCAGCTCGTGGGATCTCGTGCGACCGCGCTTCTGGTACCCCATGTCGTCACTCGAACAGTCTATGATGGAGCTCGAGCACATGAGTGACAGCATGATGCGACCGCGCTTCCCTTTTGGGGCGCGTCGAGAGATGCTCGCCACTCAAACTCCAAAGCACGTCATGTACTCCGGGAAGTCGACGGACGATGACGACTTCTTCGTCGACCTGCCTGTGGTGGCACACAAGTACAAGCCGACGGCGTTCCAACCGGTGCAAAACGCACCGCAACAGGATTAACAAGTATCCAGCACCAAGACAGCGAAGGATGAAGACTCGATGAGCCACTCGTTCTCGTCTTACTCGTTCAGCAACTCGTCTGTTGTGGACGAGAAGGGTCGACGAGTGGCAACGACGCGTCGCCGCTACGAAGACTCCACGGGTCATCTCAAAGCGGTGCATGAACGAGAGATCGACGGAAAGAAGATGCGCACAACTTGGCGACGACAAGGCAAGGGAGAGGATGAACAGCACGAGTCCATCTTCTCGAGCGGTAGTCCGGAGGAGTTTGAAGCACTGTGGCAGCAGACGCCATTCGGTGCGGCACAGAAGACGTCAGTGAAAGGCCAGCTGCAGGCCGAGTCAGAAGTTGATCGAGACGTGACACCGTCGATGACACCTGCGCCGCTGGCGGACACTACTGTCCATGAAAAGTCAACGGAGATGACATCGACGGAGAAATGCGCGGAGGTAGAGACAGAAAAGAAGCACAACTTGTAGTGTCCACCCCCACGATTGAACAATTGAGTGGAGGTTTGTTCTTGTGAAGAAGAAGCATTCGTTGGTGTTACCATTTGCATTGATGCGCTCAAGCGCCGTCTATCTGCAGGCAAGCTGTAAATCGATACACTTGTCTGCATCGAACAGTATCCTCAACCGATAAGGACACACACGAGTATCGATATACGCGTTTACGAGTGTAAATGAATGAGACGTCCGACTTTTGGGTACCCGTTCATGAGAAGCTTTTGTTTCTTCTGGTGTCTCATCCAGTTAAGCTGCAGGATAGGAGGTTGTGGAGAGTTGAATTGTAGGACCTGAAATGCCTTTGATGCGCTTCGAGATTGAAGAAGTTGCTGCAACAGCGGAATGTCGTGGACGTACATCGGTTCTGATCGTCATGTGTGGTATCCATGTGGTAACGATATCATGTTCCCCATTGTAACCTGAAAAGAAAGCACATGACAAATCAACAAGCGAAATCGGTACAAAGCTGCATCAAAACTCCTCATTACGTGAAAGCTGAATGCAGGATCGATCTATGTGCTGGCTTCGTCGTACATCATTGAACTCGAATGGATGGTTCATCTCGGTCAATAGGGTACAATCAACATGTACAAGCTGTAGATGGTGGCTGGATAAGATGTGCGAGCAGAAGTAAGTATCAATGTGGGCAACGCAGTCATGATATCGTTTTTCACTCTTCTGGAAGGAAGTTGAGACGAAGGGATGTCCACAGGTGTGCTGCCGTTCATTCGTAGTGTATGCTATCATCACAGCGCACGCCAGCACACATTTAATTGCCGGCGCACAGGTTCCAATGGCACGGCAAAATATGATCCGTGAACCACCGCAAGTACCACGTATCGACAATGGCCTCAACAACGACTACACGAATGAAACCGGCAATGCTTGGCATTCGAAGCATTAAGAGCAAAAGTGGAACCCAAAACGTATTGACAAGGGTAATAATGTACACAGCTCCGATAGTGAAACTGTGGTTGACATAGCAACGTACCCGTCCACCGAATAGCGACCACATAGAACCGACTTCAAGGTCATGCCACCATGCAGTTTTGGAGTAAGTGTTGATTGAGTGGATGTGTATCACGGTTTTAATGAGAGCATCCGTGCTGGAAGTCGTGCTCACAAAGAGCAGCTTGGGTACGAGTCTCCACGGACAAGACGGACAGCGCGAGAGGTATGACTTGTTTTTTAATGTGACCACCTACTCTGCAATTTGTTGATCGACTGCGTTTTGATTCTTATCACGACGCTGTCGTCGTACACAAGGAAAGCGGCCGCAAAACGTCGCATCAAGAGGCACAGGAAAAACGCACATTGCGACCAGAATAGATGACACATGTCGACGGTACACGAAAATACGCAGAAAATCCTGCCTTCAATACTAATGAGGGATTGGTATTCAAAGAATGAACGAAGTCGTTGTTCCTCGACTACTGCTGGTATGGTCACAATGGCAAATGGGATATCGACGGTGGCTGAAAAGCTACGGAAACTCGCGACTTCCACACAACATCTGATCACCGACCTGAGCACCGTTGTGCATTCCTCTGACGATGCGAGGTCCACAAGAAGATCGTAATTCAAGTGGACGACAGTACCCGCCGGAAGGGTGGTGTCATGCGCGTATAGTATCGGAAGACTGGAAGGACCATCGGTTTCGTCTCGACTTTCTAGTCGTCAGTGGAAAAGCATTCGCGAAAAAGAAGGTGAAAAAGACGGGAGTCGGTTCTAGAAAACAGCCACTCAGGTGTATGACATTTTGAATCGGACGGTTCAAACGCTACTTTCGACAACATTCGATCGAAGCACTTCAACATCATCATGATCGGTCTGCCTCTGTCTGCACGCCAAGAGAGCGGCGACCCACGTCCCCTTTAATTTCCCAATTTGAATCCAACCGCACGATCGATCAGTAGCAACAACCCACACACGACAAAGTCACGCAACCATGTTCAGCTCGTGGGATCTCGTGCGACCGCGCTTCTGGTACCCCATGTCGTCACTCGAACAGTCTATGATGGAGCTCGAGCACATGAGTGACAGCATGATGCGACCGCGCTTCCCTTTTGGGGCGCGTCGAGAGATGCTCGCCACTCCAACTCCAAAGCACGTCATGTACTCCGGGAAGTCGACGGATGATGACGACTTCTTCGTCGACCTGCCTGTGGTGGCACACAAGTACAAGCCGACGGCGTTCCAACCGGTGCAAAATGCACCGCAACAGGATCAACAAGTATCCAGCACCAAGACAGCGAAGGATGAAGACTCGATGAGCCACTCGTTCTCGTCTTACTCGTTCAGCAACTCGTCTGTTGTGGACGAGAAGGATCGACGAGTGGCAACGACGCGTCGCCGCTACGAAGACTCCACGGGTCATCTCAAAGCGGTGCATGAACGAGAGATCGACGGAAAGAAGATGCGCACGACCTGGCGACGACAAGGCAAGGGAGAGGATGAACAGCACGAGTCCATCTGCTCGAGCGGTAGTCCGGAGGAGTTTGAAGCACTGTGGCAGCAGACGCCATTCGGTGCGGCACAGAAGAAGTCAGTGAAATGCCAGCTGCAGGCCGAGTCGGACGTCGGTCGAGACATGACACCGTCGATGACACCTGCGCCGCTGGCGGACACTACTTTCCATGAAAAGTCAACGGAGATGACATCGATGGAGAAATGCGCGGAGGTAGAGACAGAAAAGAAGCACAACTTGTAGTGTCCACCCCCACGATTGAACAATTGAATGGAGGTTTGTTCTTGTGAAGAAGAAGCATTCGTTGGTGTTACCATTTGCATTGATGCGCTCAAGTGCCGTCTATCTGCAGGCAAGCTGCGAGTCGATACACTTGTCTGTACCGGACGGTATGCTCAATCGATAAGGACACACACGGGTATCGAGATACGCGTGTACGAGTGTAAATAAACGAGGCGTCCAACGTTTGGGTACCTGTTCATGAGAACCTTTTTTTCGCTTCTGGTGTCTCATCTAGTTAAGCTGCAGGATAGGAGGTTGTGGAGTGTTGAATTGTAGGACCTGAAACGCCTTGTGATACGCTTCGAGATTGAAGAAGATATTGCAACAGCGGAATATCGTGGACTTACATCGGTTCCGATCGCTGTGTGGTATCCATGTTGTAGCGGGCACCCTTTGTCTGGGTGCCACGAAACTTCACGTACACTCGTACGTGCAGAAGAAGGTAGTCTACTTAAACAACTCGTTTACGTAAAAGGTAAAAAGAGAACTGTACTTAATATAGTTAAGCTATCAAAATAACTTCAATCCTTATCTAACTAAATTATTCTACTTTGTCGCATGACGACAACTTGCACACCACTCGTTATGCGCGTCTAGCAGCGATTTGTGGTAATCTTGGTTGATGTGTCTTTTATCAACCAATCTTTGAGCAGCGTACGAATATGATCCTACAAGGAGATTCCTTCAATATCATATTTCTCGGATGTTATTGGCAGGGAATTGTCACGCTAGGCAATCTCCCTCTTGACACCGTTTGGTGTCACTATCATGAAACGGGATACCCCTGTAAATCCATCCCCCTTAATCATCAATCACCCATTGACTGAATTCAACTGATTGGAACAGGGTGACCACCTTAAATCACTCTGGGAAGAGGATCACTTGCTGGTCAAATTTTAACTCATTTTGCCGGTTCATCACATGGTGTCAAAGTCCGTGGGGTGCGCTTTTAAAGCAGCAAGAAAAGCGGTTGCACGCATGCGTGCAGCCGAAGAGGTTTCTTCTCTTGCTCCAGCAGCAGATGATGCTTCACCTACTGTTGCGACTCAGCACTACCGATCGAGGTAGAATCCCGTTGTTCGATTTAAGGAAGATTTGCCCACCTGATTCCAGCACTAATACTAACCTGAGGAAGAGTTCTTTACCGATACGATTTTTAAACTTCGGTGAATAACTCTGTCAACCGTGGTCTAAACTACAAGGCCTTGGTGCAAGGATCGAAGGCCCCATCCACAACATCGAGTGCATTGGCCGTGAGGCCTGGCTCAATAAACTTGATGCAGCTTGCATCAGGTTTCAGAAGCGCAACCCAGTCGGTATGCTGTTCAAGTTGCACTGACTGTCGAAAGAGGCAGGATGAACATGTCTCTTGTGGGATGATTCGTGTCTAAGTTGCCTGGACAACTTGAACTGTGTCCTTAAGGATGTCTACCTCCCTAATGTTCCCTACCGGAGGGCGCGCATCTCTTTTGAGATGGACGAAGGGATTGTCACTTTGCAATCCCTGTTTTCGCGTTCGGGGAGGTCGTTTTCCGACGGCCCTTCTTCGAACGTCGCGAGTGGGTCTCGTCATACTGCTCGACGAAACCAAGGACTTCAATAATCAGCTGGGTACGAGGCTCCCAGCTGTCCCACGCCGGTGGATAGCCACGCCAGCGGACGAGTTAACTCCTCCGGACGCCATTCACATCGCGGTAGTTCAAAATACGCTCCACTAGGGAAGCGTTGACCACCGCTTGAGCCCACCAAAGGATGTGGTGGCGGTGGGAACACCTGATTCGGGTCGAGGGTCGGATCAGCTTAACGTTCAGGAATTTAGCCGTGTAACGAAACAGTTACACGAAGACTTAGCTCATTAAACGGACTCAGCGTTATGAGCTTCAGGATGTTGTGAGGGATTTTACAACTTCTTAACGCATGATCGTTCGAACAATCGTGCCGTGTTTGCGCTCGAGCAACTTGAAAACGAACGTTCGACTCGTTCTCTTCGTGACGAGCTGGCTGCAGATCGCTGAGACATCGCTCAACTGCATGAGCAGGTCGCTTCGCTAGTCAACCAGACTGGATTGTTGAAACGAAAGCACTCGAAGGTGTTCTCGTCTTTCCACCGCGGAGGTGTTCTTCGCCTCTCGTAACCTTCTCGTAATGATAGTACGGGAGGAGAATTCCAACTTAAGACGTAGGATGCGTACGCATCCTACGAGGCAGTTCAATCGTGCAAGCATTGTCCATTCGGCGCAACCCACGAAATGGACCGATGTACCTGGGCAGTAATTTACTGCTGCCCACGTTTGTCACTGCGTGTTTCGATAGATTAACTGTAAACAGTAAAACTAGGTATCCTTTATTAAATGAAAGAACATTTTCTCTTCCTTGTTTGTCTGCGTTTGATTTCTGTTTATCTATTGCATCTGTAACATAACCTTAAACGAATCGGACAACCGCTTCGCGAGTCAGCAGAAATTCCTTTGCGGATTCATCCTTGTCAACAGCAGTGCGCTTCGAGCGCACTGCTGAAAGAACGTCGTCTTCACCAGTGAGGGCGTCACCTTCCTCTTTGTGGCAGTCATCAGCGATGCCAAAAAATATACCAGCGTCGTCGTCATCATCATCATCAATATCAATTGCAGCGACATGGTCATCTATCACGTCGACACCATCGTCGACTTGTGATGAGCAAGAACTAGATCGGGTAGTGTTCGAGCGAGTCCACCCACCCCTTAAACTATAGTCACACACGTAAGGAGGCGGGTGAATGTGGATGGCGTAGGCCATTCACGAAGAACGGTGTATGCGCTGTCGACGCATGCACCGAGTTGTTGATGGCAAATTTCGCCATCGGCAAGAACTCACAGCAACTTGTAAACGAGTGGACGTACCCTCGGAGTAACTCTTCGAGGACGCGATTGACGCGTTTCGTCTGACCATCTGTTTTTTTATGGTCTGAAGTCGACATATTCAAACTTTTTCCAAAGGAACGGAACACGGATTTCCAGAACTCCTCTGTAAAGTGGATGTCCCATACGGACACGAGTTCACGGGGTAACCAGTGAAGTAGGAAGATAGTATCGATGAAGACGCGCGCACAGACCTGGGATTTGATCGACTCCGGTTCAGCAACAAGATGTACCATCTTGCTGAACCGATCAACAAACACACGAATGCCATAATTCCTGTGAACGTCTTTGGGGAACCCAAAGACGAAGTCCATCGACACGAACTGCCAACACACTGCCGGAATCGGAAGAGGCTGTAAGGGTGAGCGGGGAGAAGGACTAGGCTTCACCCGCTGACAAACTTCGCAAGCGCGAATGTACTTGCGCACAGACTCTTGCTGGCGGGGCCAGTAGAAGCCACGACTTACCGTGAGGTAAGTCTTTTCCCGACCGCGAAGCCCACTTGTTAGGGCATCGCGACACTCATACATGGTGCGAAATCGCAAATCATTATGATCCGGAACGACGACACGAGGTGTGTCGCCGGTGACTGCTGTATAGTACAGCAGTCCATCATGAACCGAATACCGTTCGGTCGACGAGGGGTATAGAGACGTCAAGCTTTTTTAGAGCTTGACTGCATGGATTAGACACGTAATGCATCAACCGCAGAAGAGACTCATCTTCTGCGTATGCCTTCCGCATGTCGTCAAACAGATTCGACGACGGAACACTCACTGTTAGTGTCGCTACAGTGGGATCACCTTTATTGTTGGATTGAGCAGTCGGCTCGAAATTGGGCCAACGCGAAAGAGCACCAGCGACGAGATTAAGTCGTTCTGGTTTATACTTGACGAAGAAGTTGTACTACGCAAAGAAAGACAGCCACCTCGCCATTCGTTGCGAGAGTTTTGGACTTGTTACGGTCGTGCGTAATGACGCATGGTCGGTATAAACGATGAAGGGCCTATCTCCTAATAGATTTACCCAAAACTTAGCCAGTGCATATTTCATGGCATGTAGTTCCTTGTCATGCACCGGGTAATTGCTCTCAGCTGCTAGCAGCTGACGCGATGGATAGCAGACGACGCGCCCAACGCCGTCTGAGTCGTACCGCATTAGCACGCAGCCGATTGCAAAATCGCTGTCGTCACAGACCACATGGAATGGTCTGTCTGGGTCTGCAATTGCCAGCACAGGAGATTGCACCAAGCTTTTCTTGATGCCTTCAAAAGAGTGCTGAAACTTAACGCTCCATGATCACCTCTCGTTTGTCTTTAACAGACGAGGGAGATATTAGGTCATCTCGGCTTAGTTGCGCGAGCACTTGTGCAAGTACGCCGACAAGCCAAGGAACTTTCGAAGTCCTTTAAGTCGACTGGCACGGGCCATATGCTAATCGCCTTGATCTTTTTCGGATCAAGGCTTACGCCGTGGTACCCACAATGCAGCCAAGAAATGGTATTTCGCTCGCTGCAAAAATGCACTTCTTGAGGTTCGCGAACAACTTATGCTCTCGCAGTAGTGTAAGAACCTTCCGGACGTGGATTCTAGAACCCCCACGTCCGTATTTTCCATTCATAGCCCTGCTATGGACGAAGCCATCGTCAAATTCACTCGGTGCAAAATCTCGCACCGATCGCAACAGATTTGTAATGCATATGTTGAACGTTGCAAAGGCGTTACTTAGCCCCTGTGGCATCACTAGCCACTCCCAGAGCATACCACTGGGGATTATCACTGCTGTGTACTGGATGCCCCGTTAACGCAGGATGATCTGATAGAATCCATCCATTAAATCCATGGACAAAAAGATGGTACTCTTTGCCATACCATCAATGATGACATCCTTCCTTGGTATCGGTGTCTGAGCCGGTACCGTTGCAGTGTTCAATTTGTTGAGCGCGTGAACTAATTGCCACTCTCCTGTGAGGTTTGCACACAGAAGGTCGGAGAGCTGGGTGGTGATGTTGATACCCCTCATTTGACCAGCCGCTAAGCGATCGGCAAAGAATTTGCCGATCGCTGTGACCTGTTGAGGCAGTGGCCACTGCTTCATGACACAGTGCTTCGAAAGGGTTTCAGTTCGATCTCATACCGAGTGACTTTGTCCTTGGGCAGATCGCATGGCACAGATTCATGGATATCGTCCTTGAATTTGACCAAATACTTATACAAATGATTTGTCTGCAAAGACTCCCAAGACTGAGACGTGTATCGCTCAATTCGGGTCATCTCAGTGAGGACACTCTCATCCATCGATGAGCTACTGAGAACCCGTTCGTTCTCAGTAAACACTTGTGCTTACCGAATGTTAGCGACGTACTCGTCCTCTGTGACGAGTACGCAGATCTGCTTGATCTTGTCACTTCGCAGATCTCGCAAGAATCTATAGAATTCTAGCGTTGGCAACTTGATTGCCTCCGAAGCTGACTTTGGAGGTGTAACCAGATCAAGTTTATAAGCTCCTACACTTGATCCGTCATTCACCAAGACATTCACTGTCTCGGTGATTTCCTGGGAAAACACATTAGCAGGTGGTCGGGGATCCACACCCTCAACATTACTTTCTTGATAGTTATCACTCCCAGGAACGCTGGAAATCTCTTACAATACATGTTCTAGCTGTGGCGGCACTACTATAGTCATGTCCTCTTCAATCGACTTTTTTTAGTCGAGCGGGCTTGCTCTACGATCGACTCTCTGTTAGGCAATCTCGCTTCAACGTGTTGTTCATCCTGAACAACACTAGTACATCTTATCGGATGCACCCTTTTTGGTGTGCATCCGTGTTCCAGTCCACTCGATCTCTTCGAGTGAAGAGCCTTCGGCGCAGCCTGTGTCTCTACACAGGTGCCGGAAGCTGGTTCCACAGTGTAGTGTCCTTCTACACTGTGATCTTGTGCAATCGTATTAACGGCCGTACCACAAGTGAGGCCATCACAATCACTCGTAGTACATCCACACGCTTGTGGACGCTCCAAGACGTTTATCAGATGGCCGTCTAATGAACAAAGGGCAGGCATCTTCACGGATCGATGCTTCCAGATGATCCAGGCCTGGTTATTTCTTAGCCATCGCAGAACGAGGATGACATCAAATTTGTCATCCAAATCCAGTACGATGAAGTCATTATTGTACTGCTTTCCTTCTAGAGTGTAGTGGACACTACGTCTCACCAACACGCCATTCTAATGGGCAACTAGTGCACGATTGATGTGTGTGTGTACAAGACTCGGACGATAAAAACACGCAAATGTGATGATCTCTTAGTAAATGTAGATGACCTTTCGATGCTGTAAAAAAATTAACCATCGAAGCACGGAGACCGTTGACTGGCTGACTACATTCAAGCGACAACGCCACGGTCACTTCAACTCCAGCACACAAAACCCACCCACACACACATCGGCTCTACACTGGTACACCATGGTACCTTTGTGGCCCCGGTTTGGCTGCACGGGTGGGGGGGGCGGACGCTCCGCACAGGGGCGACCAGTGCCTCACTGTGGCAGTGTGCCGCCTCTGCGTGCTCACGTGCACTGGAGCATGACCGTCGCAGGGCTTGCGTTAGCCACCCCCCGTCGTACTTGACGCCCCGGACGTCCGAATACACGGAGCGCTGCTGGCGTGGTCGCCGTGTTCATTGACGCTGGCTGGGACACGTATCGGGACGCTGGAATTCGAGGAGCTCTTAGATACCAGGACGCAGCAAGCTACCTGCTCGCACCCGCACGGACCTTGTGGCTCACCATGGGCTCCTTTGTGGGTCAGACGCGCCACGTACGTCAACACGTCCTGCTCGATATGGTACATTGGTCATCCCTATCAACATTTCATGGACTCAACCTGTTCGGCGTGTCTTCTGTTTCACAGCTTTAAAGTGAGACAGCCCCCCCCCTCACGGCGACGCCATTGGCCGCGTCTATTCGCCTCGTGTGCCACTCTACGGGACTATAGCTGTGGCTGGCGTGTGGCTCGACGCAGTGTGCAGAAAAAAGGGATTGATTGCACGCGAGAAAGCAGAGGAGGGTGATGGTTGTGGTCACTGATGCGAGAACTCTATGGGATAGAGCTTCAAGATGGCAAGAGTCTGGCGATTCTAGTGGGAGGGATTGCAGAGCAGATGCTGTCTCAACGGGGAGACCATACGATCACGTCAAGAAACGCAAGGGACATATCGCTTGGGCTCAGTACGGTGCGATTGTACCGGAGCTGGCGCTTTGAGGACGGCTCCTCGCACTCCAAGTAAGTTTGTCGTCCTGAAATCATTGCCGTCCAATTGGGTTCACTCGTGGTTGTCCGTCAGGCCTCTGACGCTAGGACGCTGCTGTCCTTCGTCACAGTAGCAAAAGTCTTGTGGTGGCGCTGCTGCGTTCTGGTTTCGGGCGCTCGAAAGGCGCTTTGGCTGCCCACGAAGGAGTGGGGTCATCATGGTCTCTGGTAAGCCCACCTGTCAAAATGATGGTGACCCGAGGCTGAGCTGGATCGTGGAGAAAGCTGCATGCAATACGAGCAAGGCTTGTCTGCCTTTCGACAAGTACAAAACAAAGTAGGGCTACGGAAAGTGTCGCTGGTCGTGTGCTAACTCTGATGGATTCGCATAGCAGAAATTTAGTCTTACTAGCTGCATAATGGCCCTCCTGGTTTTTACAACACCTTGTCTGCTTGGCTTAGGCCACGTAAATGTTCACCCTGGGGCCTGGTCGACTTCGTGACGGCGCAAATACCCTGCACGAGAACTCGACACTGCTTGATTGCACTGGCGGTGGGCACGAACTGGTGAATCAGCACTCGGTAACTCATCAGTTGGGCTGAGATCACGACGTGTTTTTTGAGAACACGCACGATGGCAGCTTGCAGGACATCTTGGGTGATCATCTTCAAACTCATGGGCTGAACGGGGTGCCTTGGGCTCGACTGGAGTACTTTGGAATAAGTGGGGTTACATGCACGTTAGGACGCGGTAGCAATAGGCAGTGACGCGTCAGGAGGTATCGTACTGAGATTCGAAGTTTCGACTGGTGAAGCCAAAGTTTGGCGTTTGTATACGTTCGGTCCGTAGCACCGTTCGACGTAAGCACTGCCTGCGAATGGTAAAGGGTCAAATAAATGTCGTCCATCGTATCTGTTCTAGTACAAACACACCTTGACAAGACTAGCCATGTGGTGTGTACACTGCTCCGAGTGCTGGTTCGCTGGCTGATCTCGGACGCTGACCCTTGCGCTGTTAAACTGACAGCAGACGTTAGCAACATGCTACACCTCCTCATCGGACAATAGACAATGACTACCTGTACGAGAATTAGCATCTGATAAAAGCTCAAAGTTTGTAGCATTTATCAAAGCAAGGCTTTGAATCACCCGTGAACGAAAGATGTGAACCCACAAAGCCGTCCGGTACCCTCCAGTGTAGAACCGTGTGAACAGACGCGTATGTGCTCCATGGCAGGGGCAAAAAACGACTGCGCTCGGCGACGCACTTGATATGGGCCAAGCTGGCTGTAAGAAGCTCAAGCAGTGATAAGTTACGGCGTGGTGCAAATCAATAGCGGAGCGTCGCGGCGCCCCAGCACGCAACTCGATGTCTTCTTCGACCCAAGCAGTGAAAGAACGCCAGTCCTACCTATACAACAAGCATGCGTCAGGGGCTCCTCACAGACCGATTGATCGATATCACGGATTACATCAACGACATGTGCACATACCTGCTCAACATTTTATCCTTCAGCACCTGCAGTTTAGATACGAAACGCTCGCGTGGCGCTGGTGCAGCCTGAACCAGCAAGATCCATATCGCTTTGAAACCGAGGCCCTGCGTAAAAAGTGGGCTGAATCGTGGGGGTTAATGACTGAGCACCAGATCTTGATGAACAAAAACAGCAACACACAAGTGCAATCACCTTTAATGAGCCGCGCCAAGAACTTGAGTAGTACCTTGAAAAGTCCTTGTCGTCGATCAGGCAAAATACGATGATCACTGATGTTTGATTCTGCTCCAACATGTATCGTCCGGAAGTGGCATCAGTCTGCACCTGGCAGAAGTAGGCTCGGCTAGCCCCCGCCTATCACGCAGACATCAGGTAGTGCGTATACTTTGCTAATAGTTCAGAAGCCTAGGAGAGAACCCCTCCTGTAAAGGTCGGCACGCTGGCTCACAAAAAGCAGTTACATCTTCACCGTAAGAATAACAGTGGTGGTGACAGTATGGGTATTATAGAAGTAGGCCAACTGGTCAAGTGTGCAGTGCATGAGGGGTGGTGTCGAACGGCTTGATCAAATCAAAAGATTTATTTCGAACGCACCAGGGTCAATATAGCCCTCAGGTCTTTGGTGGCGTCACTTGCTGGAACTGCACCACCTGCGCGCTCGCTCAATATACTTCAGGATATATTCGGTCGAGGCATCATACAGCGTTTGACGGCTAATACAAGCGTGACAGCCTTGATGATTAGGTCCCAACCTTACCTTAAAAGACATCAGTGCGTCTCATTCGTCAGTCCGAAAAAGAGAAACAGGGCGCAGTCGCCTTCCGATTGTGCTGATCAAGAAAGCCTCAGCACCTCGCAGATCTGATCAGCAGCTCATCTACCAAGACATGGCAGCACACTCGCTCGGGAAGTTGAGTAACAGTGCTGCAGAGGCAGCAAAGAGGTCGTATTACATGCATTAGACCCTTGTCACACATGACGATACAGTTGCAGGAGGATCAATATGGCTCACGTTCGATGCAATCGTCTTCGCAACGTCTGCCTTGTGTACAGAACAGTTCAGCCTCGCAAGTATTCGGAGATCGTTACGCGGGATAAGGCCCGTCGCCCTGCGGCAAAGTACCGTATTGTATCCTGCACATTGCAGGGAAACACCGTAGCTAAGCCCACGCTCAACGACATCAACGCTACAAAACGCACCTTCAAGAAACAGCCCAGCCCTCTGATAGGACTGACTGGCCTGCCTGCAGCCCTGGATCAGAAATAGTCGCCCTGCGACAAACCACACCTAAGTTAACAAGTGCACCACACAGATAACCCCTGAAACCAAATTCGGAGCAAACAGCACAACACCACTCCACTGTGCGGGCAAGCGCCCCATCTTCAAAGCACGGCCGGCCCGTCGTGCGGTATGGAAAAGCAAATAACGCCTCACGACGCGCTGAGCCTCGAGAACGCAATATCGTGCCACAAATGAAGGACAGTGGTGCACACTACACCAAACACGTATATACATGTATACACACGCGATGCACTCAGCGCCACGTCTCCAGCTCTACTACTCAACACCAGCTACTAAAAGGGCACGGACGGTCACTGCGTACACGCGGGGAACAGGCGCGTGCCCGTCTCACAGTGCGAATACGAGATCCAGTATGGCGCCCCCACACAACACACAACAACAACAGCAACAACGACGAGGCGTCGGCTCTCTCTCTCCCGTGTGTCCAGGAGGCCCCCAGCCGCGCCGTCAGTCGAACCAAATATAGGGCAAGCGGAGAGTACGCGCCCGGTCACAAACGACTCGGAACGCACTGCAATAGGATGGAACGCGGCCGCCGTCGAGCCTGCAGCGCGTGCGACTCGACGGCGTCACCAGCAGCGTCGCAGGCGGAAGAACAGGTCTCGGCTTGTGGGCTCCAGGGCTGGGTGCAGATCTTGTGTGCGCGCTATGGGTACAAAAAGAAGGCTGTAAGCCATCACAAAATAGGGTTAGGGACGCCAATGACAACGCACGTTCTGTCCCGTTGAAAGCACAACAACAACTCATCACGTTACCCACACGAATACACTTGAGCCACGTCTCGTTCGTGAGGGTCTGGGGCGCCCCGTGACTAGGACGCCAGTGCGGCCCATTGCGCCCATCTGCTTAAAGTCAACCTGCACAAGTGTAGCCATTCTTGATGGACCCAGGAGCGAGTTTCAAGAGGCAGGGGGGCCGCACAGATAGGTGTCTGGGATACAATATGGGGTGCACGGGCCATACGTATACGTGCCCTTAGTAATGACATGTGCGTTGTCAGGTTGTGGCGCTTTGCGCCTTGTGCGGCGCACCGGCGTCGTGTTTGGGCAAGACGATACAAACTTGAGGCGCGATTTCGATGCGGAATGGTCGGTCGGTTGCAACTTGAGGGGGAAAGCCTTATTATGCGACTAGCTACGGTGACCGATTCGTCGTGTTTCTAATTTAGTCGTGTGACTGTGATCTGCAAGCCGACTCAAGGTACTTTTACTACAGTGGTACCAAGTGAGGAGAGAGGACACGCATTGACAATGGCACGGTAGGGATCACCGGTAAAGGCTGATCTTACAGCTTATAGGCACACTTCAAGAAGGGAATAGTTGATACATCGATGCAATCGTGATAGAAGCAGAGCAAGCAATAATACGTAGGGCAGCGTACGACCCAGTGTCCATTTGTTATGATGTCAGTCGTCACACACACTACCGAGTGTGAATCTTTTGCATGCCTGCCGCGATACATTTATTGTAATGGCTCGCGCGCCAGGCCTAGATGTAGCACACATACATCGAGCATTGCAGGATGTCGAATGCGTTTGAACATTCGATCAAGTGCAAAGCTCGATCAAAGCTTGAAACGCCTCACGCGTTACCACGACAGTTTGTGTGCCTCACTTGGGCTTTGTAACGTAAAAAGGAGTGTGCGATAGCTAAATTAGACATTAACAACATTTTAAAGTTGTTGGCAGGCGCATTGTAGTACATAAGCAGCACGTTGTCAGAATGCACATTATGGTGGATCAGGCAATCTGGTAAAGACAATATTAGCATCGAAGAGGATTTATGCAATACCCACATACGAAAGGGACAAAGTCGCTGTGTCCGACTTGACTTTAAGCTGACGTGATAGTTCACAAACACTCCTTGGCGTACAACATCGTGGAGGTGGTCCAGTGTGCCGTGAAACGAGTGGGAGGTCAATGCGAATCTCGGTGAACGGAAGCATTGCTTCTTCCTGACTGGCGACACTCAAATACTTCTGCACGTCCGCAAGTGGGAAACCGATCGCACTTTGGTCGCCGCGGTATCAAGTGGTCAGGCGAATTCGTCATAAAGTTGTGATGATCGGCTTCCATCCAGCGTAAGCAGGAAGGGCACGACGATGCCTGAACAAGTGGCGGCACGCTGTCCTTCGGATACACTGATCGTTTTCTGGTACAAGCGCGGGTCGATGTGGAAACCTCAATAATGAGCGACTCTTCCATCCTTCAGACACTTATTGATATCGGACTCGACACCTGCGCACCACCTGACACTCTTCTGATATTCCCCAATGAGATCGTCGGTTGACGAAAAAGTCGTCGTAATATACGAAGTCTTTTCTTGCCTGCAAGCCAGGTGATGTATAAGTTCATCATAGCTTGATTACGTACTCAGGCTTGATGATATTGCATTGGCAAAATCAATCATAAACGTACCCTGAAAAGTTACACATGAGCTCAAAATAAGGTCCGTCTGCAAGACGCTCGAAAGATTCAGGCGGTCAGCCAGCTGCATCCACATTCAACGAAGGTGTAGCATAGGGTTAGCACCCTTGGCATTGAGAGACATGCGCACAGAATGCCGCACTTTGTTGCTAGGGTGGATTTTCCAACACAGGCAGTTCCTCGCCAGCATGATGAGCAGCGGACCCGATTGCGATGAAAAAGCTGGCCGAAAACGTCCCGATGAAAAGCAACAACCACTTGTCGTTAGCGTCCAGCATCAAATGACGACTTGGCAATTGCTTCATATCGGCGTCCTGGACACATCCTGTAACACGAGATCGTGGTTCACCATACCCGAACACTAACATTGTCTTATACAGAAAGTCCTCAAATTGCTCTGGCCGATATCTGGCCGTTCAAAGTCCACCAGCGTCTACAGAAGGTCAACCATAACCCCATCCTCATGACATTGTAAGCTCTATAGCCATCACAAAAGTGAATAACCTCGTTTCAGTGTTGCTATTCTGACCCTTTTCAAGTCGAGCGAAATTTACCGCGTCCTCGAATTGATCTAAAAAAATAGTACATTTATCGTAACACATGTGACCAACTTCAAATTCGTTTCTATACAAATTCGGAGCCCTATCGGTCCGTACCTTGGCACTAACCAGTGCGCGACACAGCAAATAGCGTGACAAGACGTAAACGTGGTCCTCCACCCACACGCGCACTTTCACAAAGTCGTACTTGGACTGGTTTCGCTTTGCCACGACCTCAGTCTGCTGTAAATTTAGTGCCTTGGATACTGGTAGTGGCCTCGTAGGTGGCGGCGTCTCCTCCATGTCCATGAGTCCTGACAAGACCACGTCGTGTTCATTTAGGCTCATGACGCCAATGGAGCTACTGTATCGACACTTCAATAGGGGGAGGGCGCTATTCCAGGCGGTGATTCGCTCAAATTGGTGTGGTTACGATTGCATAATAACGACCAATCGATAAAGAGTAAGTGTGAAAAACAATAACAAGCGGCAACCGAGACCCAAACTTTTGACAATTCTGACAGTCGGAATATAGCTCTTACGATTGCATAATAACGACCAATCGATAAAGAGTAAGTGTGAAAAACAATGACTAGCGGCAACCGAGACCCAAACTTTTGACAGTTCTGACAGTCGGAATATAGCTCTTTTGACAATTCTGACAGTCGGAATAAAGCTCTTTTGACAATCCTGACTGTCAGAGTAGCTCTTTGGATAATTCTGACAGTCAGAACAAAGACCTTTGGATAATTCTGACCGCCAGGGAGATCAACGATAGTTGCCATACGGAACGACAAGCTCGGAAGTGAGAAAGATAGATCACGTGGTAAAGATTGAGTGCCATTATAGTAAGCATTGAGACTAAGGAAAATAAGCTGCGAAGGCAAAGTCGCGCACCCGAGGTCTTGTTTGGTGCGTCATTCACAGGTGATCGAGTCGGAAAAGGCAAGCGTTAGTCGCACGTTTCAGTCGAATTCAAGAGATGCTGACATCTTTGACACCAGAAGGTGAGCGCGTGGAACGTGGATTGTCCTATGTGGCGTCCCAAAGCTGCTAAGTTCGATGTGCAGAGAGAGAGAGAGAGAGAGTACCGTGAGTAAGACAGACTTTAGGTTGGCTAGCAGTTCATCGCAGAACAGCGGACACCGCCTCGGGGGGGGGGGGGGGCGGGGGGGGGGCGGGCGGGGGGGGGGGGGCCAAGGGGGGGGGGGGCGGGGGGGGGGGGCGGGGGGGGGGGCGCACGCGCGAAGGGCCGGGGGCGGGCGGGGGGGCCCCGGGGGGGGGGAACAGGGCGGAGGCGGAAGGGGGGGGGGAGGGGCGGGGGGGGCACCGCCAGCCCGGGCCCCGCAGCGGAAAGGCCCGGGGGGGCGCGCCCCCCGGGGGGGCCGGCGCCGGGGGGAGAGGCCGCACACACGGGGCAAGGCCGGCCGGGCGGGGGCCCCCAGGGCCGGGGCGACAGCGGGCGGGGGGGGGGGGGGGGGGGGCGCGGGGGGGCAGAAGGGGGCCGGGGCCCGGGGGGGGGGGGCGGCCCCGGGGGGCCGCGCGGCGGCGCGCCGGCCACAGGAGGGGGCACCGGGGGGCGGGGGCGCGGAAGGGGGGGGAAGGGGGGGGGGGGGGGGGGGGGGGGGGGGGGGAGGGGGGGGGGCGGGGGGGGGGGGGGGGGGGGGGGGGGGGGGGGGGGGGGGGGGGGGGGCGGGGGGGGAAGGGGGGGGGGGGGGGGGGGGGGGGGGGGGGGGGGAAGGGGGGGGGGGGGGGCCGCGCGGGCGGCCGCCAGTGGGGGGGTGGGCCACGTAGGCGCAAGGGGAGGGCGGTGGGGCGCGCGCCCGGGGGGGGGGGGGGGGGGGGGGGGACACAAGAGGGGGCCGAGGGCGGGGGGGGGCCCGCCGCCCGCCCCGGGGGGGGCGGGGGGAGGGGGGGGGGCCCCGCCCCGCGCGGCGCCCGCCCGGGGGAGGGGGGGGGGAAGGGCGGGAGCCCGGGGGCCCCCCGCCCGCCAGCCGGCGGGGGCACCCGGGGGGGGGGCGGCCACTCGCGGGGGGGGGGCCCGGCCAAGGGGGGAAGGGTCAATCAAGCGGGGGGCGGGCCGGGGCGCCCACGAGCGAGGGGGGGAAAAGGCGGGGGAAAGCGAGGGGCCGGACAAGGGGGGGGGGGGGCAGAGGGGGCCCCCGGGGGCAAGCGCGCCCCCGGGCCGGCGGGGCCCCCCGGGCGGCCGGGGGGGGGGGCCGCCGGGCAGCGACAGGCCCCGCACAAACACCGGGGCAGACAGAGAGGGGGCGCGGCCCCGGCGCCGCCACCGCCGTCACAGCACGCCAGGCCCCCCAGCGGGGGGCACAGAGGGAGAGGGGGGGGGCGGGGGGCCCCCACCCAGCCCGGGGCGGCGCCGGCGGGGGGACGGGGCCCGGGGCAGCGAGCGGGCCAAGAACGGCCCGGCGCCCCGGGGGGCGGGGGAAGCGCAGGAGGGGACACACGGCCACCCCGCGGGGGGGGCAGCAAACCGGACGGGCCCACCGGCCCCCCCGCCCCCGGGGGGGCCGCGCCCCCCCCAGCGGGGGGGCGGGGGGGGGCCGCCGGGGGGGGCAGACGAGATTAGTGTCAGAAACACAAAGGGGGGGGGGGGGAGGGGCCCCGGGGGGGGGGGGGCCCCGGGGGGGGGGGGGGGGGGGGGGGGGGGGGGGGGGGGGGGGGGGGAACAAAGGGGCGCAGGGACAAGGACAGGGGGAAAGGAGCCGCCCAGTGCGCGGAAGGACGGGCCCGGAGGGTTCGCCAGGGGAGCAGGCCACCGGGCGACGTTACCCAAGGCAGGCCGGGGCGGCAGCAAGACAAAACAGGCGCGGGGGGGGGCGCGGGCGCGCAAGGCGACCCGCAGGCAGGCCAGCATCAATAATAGGAGGCAGCGGGGGAGGGCGAGTGGGGGACATGCCCAGGGGGCGGCAGGGGGGGGGGGGACACCAAAATAGGGGGCTTAAAAACAGGCCGTTAAAGACACCGAAGCGCCGCCGGGGGCGCGGCAACTACACAGGACGGGGGGGGGCGCAATACGGGGGCCGCGGCGCCAGGGGGGGGGGGGGGGGCAGGCGGGGGGGGGGCGCGGGCCACCGTAACAGGGCCCCCCGGCGCGCCGGTCGGGGCGGCCGCCCAGGGGGGGCGTGTGTGGTAAGAAGGGAGGGGGCGCGTGGATAGGCGATTAGCGCCAGACAATACAAAAAAGGGGGGGCGCAACGGAGCACGGCAGGGACATGGCGCGATTAAGGGCGGGCCCACAGGCGCGGGGCCCCCCGCGTGGGGTGCATAAAGAAATCAGTGATAAAGGGGGGTGTGGGTAAGGTGGGGTAGAGCCAGTTTAGTCATTGGTTGTGGGCGCCAGCACGATGTTAGCACTGTGTCGCCGCGCACACCCCGCCGCAGGGGGCGGGGGTCGCGTAGAATTAAAGGTTACGAAACAGGGCCCCCGCGGGGGGGGCGCCAGCAACAAAAAGGGGGCATTTAACAGGCGGCATTAACACGGGGGAAAACCGAAGGGCACCACAACAAACGAGGCACGGGGGGGCCACGCGTCGGTAAACCCAGTAACCAGGGAACGCCACGACCGGCAGCAGCTGAAGGCTAAGCCAGGTCACAGCACTGGACGCGGGGGAGCGGGCACGTGCTAGAGGTAATGGGTTCGACAATCCGCTATAGAGTAAGGTCAAGACAGGCATGACGAGCCCTGATCACTGCTGCACCTCTAGGTCTTTGCATTGCCAGGCGATTAAATGACGCACACCCATAGTCCAGAAGCGCATAACAATGGAAAACATTAGACTAAGGCCACAAAAAAGGGCATCGTTTGCTCACACCATAGTGTGCGTGATTGTAACGGGATAGCCCGTTACATGATATTGGACACCACACAAATAATAGGGAGATTGTCTAGCGTGACAATTCCTGCCAAAATTACCTAGATAATTAATCCTAAAAAGAATACTTTATCTCCTTGTAGGGCTGAATACCCCATGCGCTGCTCAAAGATGATTGATAAAAGACATATTAACCAATATTACCACAAATCGTTGCTGGACGCGCGTAATGAGTGATGAGCAGGTTGTCGTCATACGACAAAGTAGAATAATTTAGTTAGATAAGGATTGAAGTTATTTTGATAGCTTAAATTATATTAAGTACAGTCTCTTACCTTTACGTAAACGAGTTGTTTAAGTAGACTACTCCTCTGCACGTACGAGTGTACAAAAATAGCTCGGCACCTAGAGAAAGGGCCCCGTTACACTGGTAGCACCTTGTAGTCCGTCCAATGACTACTTTAGTGTCCGTCCAACATGAACATGTTGGACGTAGAAGACGACAGCTCACGTCACACGTGAAGATACCCCCATCTCAGTGACTATAGAATGGAGGGGTGGCCTGGCGCATGAGTGTGCTCATGGGCGAACGCCATCAGTGGCATGTTGGAGTCTCTAAGCAGAGAATAAGCAAAAGCGCTATCGACAAGTCTAAAAAAGGGGAACTGCGTCGAAAGAAGATAGCCGCTACAACAGCAAAAGGGGCCTCATTAGTCGATGGGTGGGCCAACGCACATGCGTCGATCCGAAAGCCTTGAAGATGTTCAATATCTCAATGTACAAGGGAACCGAGATATCCTTTGAAATGGTTCGTCAAGTTAGACGACGTTATCAGGGTCACATCAAGGGTGACGAGGTGCAAGTCACCTTACCCTGTCAAATTTGACAGGACGAGCAAAGACTTGGGCATTAGGGCTCAAGCTCACGACCCAAACGTGTTTGAGTTGTTAGAGATCTGAATTATCGCCCAAAGAAACTTGAGCGCCACAGCCTATTCAGAGCACGCTCTGAACTCAGGTCAAATAAGGTAAGCGTGACGTGCACGCTTACGCAGGAATACCGACGCTACCTGCGAGACATGGAAAACCGTGATGAGCATACGCTCGTCAACGATTTTATCTGGGCGCCCTGTGGTGGCGCAGATCAGCGCGAAGATCTACATGTCCGAGAGGACTTCAATACTCTTGGAAAGACGATAGCGTATGCGGAACAAGAAGACCAGCCTGAGACAGTCTCAAAGGCTAACCCTGTCAAATCCATCGTCCGACAAGACGACAGGAAACAGGAGGTCCTGAACCAATGGACCTCTGTTACATCGAGAGTGAGAACACCGCCCGTCACAAGCGAACGGCAAGAGCCATCGCTGAAGATTGGGCACTACGCTCATGAGTGTAGGTCCCAAGCACTGCAACACGTCCAAAGACAGGACGTGAGACCATCGCTGCCAAGGAAAGGTCCGAGGCGAGTCCAACCATGTCGCAAAGCGCGACAGCAAGTGGACGTCAAAACACGGACAGGGGTCAGTAGGGGCGGAGCACCCTGTTGTTGATCCAGCAACGCCAAGAGAATTTGCAGGACTCTTGACGAAGATGCTCCCCTGCAACACGCAGTCTCTGTGTGTTACAGCCCTGCGATGAGGAGCCCTCATCACTTTGAAGATCGAAGTGACATGTGGAATGTCACTTCGCGCCCTAGTTGACCGTGGTGCGTCGAGCAGTTTATTCTCGACGCCAGTCGCTAGGGATAGTAGGCTCAACAATATTGAACGAGAGTCCCCTCCAACGAGGATGACGGGGCGCCTTGCGACAGGCGCATCTGTAACAGTGAACAAACGTGTAGTGGATTCCCACTACACGTTTGTTCACTGTTACAGATGCGCCTGTCGCAAGGCGCCCCGTCATCCTCGTTGGAGGGAACTCTCGTTCAATATTGTTGAGCCTACTATCCCCTAGCGACTGGCGTCGAATAAAACTGCTCGACGCACCACAGTCAACTAGGGCGCGAAGTGACATTCCACATGTCACTTCGATCTTCAAAGTGATGAGAGACTCCTCATCACTAAGGGCTGTAACACACAGAGACTGCGTGTTGGGAGCAATCTTCGTCAAGAGTCCTGCAAATTCTCTTGACGTTGCTGGATCAGCAGGGTGCTCCGCCCCTACTGACCCTGTCCGTGTTTTGACGGTCCGACTTGCTGTCGCGGCTTTGCGACATGGTTGGACTCAAGCCTCGGACCTTTCCTTGGCCAACGATGGTCATCACGTCCTGTCTTTGGACGTGTTGCAGTGCTTGGGACACTACACTCATGAGCGTAGTGCCCAATCTTCTGACAGCGATGGCATCTTGCCGTTCGCTTGTGACTCAGAGAGCGAGTGTTCTCACTCTCGATGTAACAGAGGTCCATTGGTTCGGGACCTCCTGTTTCCTGTCGTCTTGTCGGACGATAGTTTGACGAGTTAGCCTGAGACTGTCTCAGGCTGAAGTCTTCTTGTTCCGCATACGCTATCGTCTTTCCAAGAGTATTGAAGTCCTCTCGGAACATGTAGATCTTCACTGATCCATCTACAAGACCGTAGATAAAATCGTTGATGAGCGTATGCTCATCAACAGGGTTTTCCGTAACGCTACTCGCAAGGTAGCGTCGGTATTCTGCGTAAGCGTGCACGTCACGCTTACCTTGTTTGAGCCTGAGGAGTGCAGAGCGTGCTCTGAAATAGGCTTGTGGCGGCTCAAAAGTTTCTTTGAGCCGATAATTCAAGATCTCTAACAACTCAAACACGTTTGGGTCGTGAAGCTTGAGCCCTAATGCCCAAGTCTTTGCTCGTCCTGTCAAATTTGACAGGGTAAAGGTGACTTGCACCTCGTCACCCTTGATGTGACGGGCCCTGATGGCGTCGTCTAACTTGACGAACCATTTCAAAAGGGAATAATCATCGGTTCCCTTGTACATTGAGATATTAATCTTCAAGGCTTCGGATCGACGCATGTGCGTTGGCCCACCCATCGACTAATGAGAGCCTTGCTGTTGTAGCAAGGCTATCTTCTAGCTTTCGACGGCAAGTTCCCCTTTTAGGAACTTGTCGATAGCAGCATTTTGCTGGTCTCTGCTTAGAGACTCCAACATGCCACTGATGGCGAATTCGCCCATGAGCACACTCATGCGGCCGACTACCTCCCATTCTGAGTCACTGAGATGGGAGTATCCTTCACGTGTGACGTGAAAGCTGTCGTCTTCTACGTCCAACATGTTCATGTTGGACGGACACTAAGTAGTCATTGGACGGACTACAAAGTGCTACCAGGTGTAACGGGGCATCCTTTCTCTAGGTGCCACGAAACTTCACGTACACTCGTACGTGCAGAGGAAGGTAGTCTACTTAAACAACTCGTTTACGTAAAAGGTAAAAAGAGAACTGTACTTAATATAGTTAAGCTATCAAAATAACTTCAATCCTTATCTAACTAAATTATTCTACTTTGTCGTATGACGACAACCTGCTCATCACTCATTACGCGCGTCCAGCAACGATTTGTGGTAATATTGGTTAATATGTCTTTTATCAATCAATCTTTGAGCAGCGCATGAATATTATCCTACAAGGAGATAGTATTCTTTTTAAGTTAATTATCTCAGGTAATTTTGGCAGGAAATTGTCACGCTAGACAATCTCCCTATTGACACCGTGTGGTGTCAATATCATGTAACGGGCTATCCCGTTACAATCACGCACTTATGGTGTGAGCAAAACGATGCCGCTTTTTGTGGCGCTTAGTCCACAATGTTTTCCATTGTTGTACGCTTCTGGACTATGGGTGTGCGTCATTTAATCGCCTTGGCAATGCAAGAACCTAGAGGTGCAGAAACAGTGAATCAAGGGCTCAGTCGCATGCCTGTCTTGAGCCTTTTACTCTATAGCGGATTGTCGAACCATCATTACCTCTAGCACGGTGCCACGCATTCCCCCGCGTCCAGTGCTGTATTCCTGGCTTAGACCATTTCAGACTTCTAGCATTGAACCATAATAGGTAATCGACAGTCATGTATCGCTCTTGGTTTACTTGACAGGTTTTACCGACTAGTAACGGTGGCACGACATCGCATACACATATGATCGCATTCGTTTGTAAATGTGGTCCATGGGGGTGCTATAAACACCATTTACAAGCGTAGTTATTTAAAACCACGCCTAAAAGTTGTTAAATGCACGCCTTGTTAAATGACCTCCTTTTGTTCGCTGGCGTAACCGACCGCAGGCTCATATCTGTAGCCAGAAGATTCGAGAAATTATGGACGCCTTGTTCGATAAACACTATTAATATCTAACGCGACCGATCGCAGCCCAGATTTGCTGGCAGGAGAGTAAAAATGTAAAGGTCGCGAAGCAGATCACTAGGTGTCTTAATCTAATCAAGTGCATGGTCAGCCCACAAGAACAAACTAATGACATAAACATGAATCTTCGTACCTCCACGCAAAGTTTATCTCTTCTACACGCACACCTTTTATCACTGATTTCTTTATGCTACCGCCTAAAGCGCGGAGATGGGCACCACGGGAACTGCGCACTTGTGAAAGCGATTCCTGCAACGCATTTAAAATGCTATGCAGCTCAAAATTGTCGCCTGCTCCTGAAAGGTTGCTTCAGTTTGCTGTCGGCACCAACGCACGTACTTATTTAATTAAATGCTGCGTAATTGTCATGTGAATCACATTAGTCTCGCTATAATCTCACGCGGAAAGCATCACAAACTGACAGTTTCTCACGATTTCCTTTACCACCAAGTACATGCCGTATCCACATGCTCGTTGGGGCGTCCGTGAAATATCCATGGCGCTTCTACCGAATCACGTGGTCCTGCAGGCCTGAAAGTGGATGACAACTCATGTTAGCAGGTAGTGCACCAAAGCGAAGTCAACACACATCACGTACACATGACCAGTAAGAACGCGATCGTTGCGCACAATCTTGCCAAGCAACGCCAACTGCCGACTTGCGGACGACCAACAATCGTCAGCTTGATCATTAGCGGCTGAACACGAGTACTAGAAGACCTCATCAGCAAGTTATTAGCAGCCAAAAGTCATCAATCATTTCTCGCAACGTACATCGTCCTGTGTAGTTGACGACAAGACTATCGCCTGATACACAAGCATGGACGAGCGAAAACGTTTCGATGTAAGGACGTGCTTTTAACAAGTCGATTCATAGTTTTTAAAGGCATCCCTCTAGTAGTTTTGGCGGCGTGCATTCGACGATTCCCTTTACAAACTCGGTCTGTCAGGGTTTTCGAAGTCACTTACTGCGTCCACACGACAAATGATGATATGTAGTCCACGAACGTCAGTGTATCAAGCGTAAATCTATTCAGCGCCGGACTTTCGCTCCTACAGGAACTTTGTCGCATCTTTAGCTTCTTAAATATATTGATAGCTGGAAACAATCATTGCTCTTGCCCGTGGTAAATCCAGACATCTATGACGAAACTAGAGCTACCGACAATGACCGCAACAGCACAACCACGAGGCTAGAAGATACGACCTAGTCGGGTTTATATAGTTTTTGTCTTTGCATGCTCAGCCATAGCATGTGCTTTGCATATCATGCCTTTGAAGTGTATACGTTAGTCCTTCGGGTGTTGGACGGCTAAATGGTCCTTTGCCAGTCGACCAAGTCGCGGTCATTTTAGCTGAATGCTGAATAACCATGCATTGTCGCCAAACGAAAGGCGGTGAAATGCTACAGCAGTTATACACGTTTATGTGTCATGCATGAACAATATACATGGAAAGCACGATACAAGGTGCACTGTTCGCAGTCGTTTTCCGTACCGTATGCTCGGCTGCCCATTTGTGCAAGTACATAATTTTGTCCAAACAGTGACTGAACAAACGTCATCGCGCGTTTGTTAAGCTCAAGTCGGTAGCACTAACCTCACCATCGTTTCACTGATGCCATCAGCTCCATGCACAAAAAAACACTTTCTATACCAAGCCCGGACATTCCCGTCGCAGGGTCGACTCGGACGACCTTCTAACGACCTCCACTCCAAGATCCGCTCAGGGGGGAATCCAATCCACCGCACACCACGAGGCAGCAGCAGTAGCAACATGAAGGAGACGGCGCCCATCCCCGTGCCAAGCAAAGACGTCGCACGCAACGAAGGAGATGACAAAGAGACGCCCAAGAGTCTCCAGCCGTCGTTGTCCAAGTCCTCGGGCGACGACGCACCGGTCGCTGAAGAGCTCGTACGAACTTGCTGTGTCCCCTATTTCACCATGATCCTCTATAAACTAATCAACTTTATTTGTGTTTACTGTACAACTTAATACATTCCAGTCCCTTGAAGACCGCAAGCTCAAAGAAGACCTCGAAGTAGCAGTGACCCGCGTCTGCGACAAGCACGAAGACGTGGGCGTCAAACAGCTGGCACTCGAGCTCTTGCGGCGCGAGATCCGCTCGGCCACGTCGTCCATGACGTCCGTCCCGAAGCCGCTCAAGTTTCTGCGGCCGTTCTACGACGAGTTAAAGACGGCGTTTGAGTATGTGGAAGCAGGCGAGACGAAGAAACTCATGGCTGACGTGCTGGCGGTTCTGGCCATGACTATGGCCAAGGAGGGATCGCGGGAGAGTCTCAAGTTTAAGCTGCAGGGCAACAGCACGGAGCTGGGTTCGTGGGGCCACGAGTTTGTGCGCTCGTTGGCGGGAGAAGTGGGTGAAGAGTACAATGCTCGGGTTACAGCGGTTGGCGCGGTGGACCCGGACGTGCGGGACTTGCTGGAGACAGTGGACACGATCGTGCCCTTTCACATGCAGCACAATGCCGAGCCAGAGGCTATCGATATGTTGATTGAAGTGCAGCAGCTCACGAGGTTGTTGCAGAGCCCGGACATTGACGAGAAGAATTACCAGCGTGTGTGTCTCTACCTCTTGGCCTGTGCCGACTTTATGTCGGACGGAGAAGATTTAGCAAATCTATTGAACACGGCGTACGCGCTTTTCCTGCGCCTGGAACAGTTCCCAGACGCTCTCCGTGTCGCACTGCGGATCAGCAATGACGAGTTGGTGGCGGAAGTGTTTCAAAAGTGTCACGACGATGTGGTGCGGAACCAGATGGGGTACATCTTGGGTCGACAGCGCTGTTTCTATGAGGACGAGAACGAACCGTCAGTGAATGAAGTCATTGGGAACGCGGACTTGAGTGACAAGTTCCTCTCGCTCGCTCGTGATCTTGATGTCACGGAAGCGAAGACCCCCGAGGATATTTACAAGTCGCATTTGTCCGAGACAGCAAGCGTTGGTCGCGGTCGGGACTCGGGCTCGCAGCCGGCAGACTCTGCGCGCGCAAACTTGGCCTCAACATTCGTTAACGCTCTGGTGAACGCTGGTTACGGAACAGACAAGCTTATGACTCCTGAGGGAAACACATGGCTGTATAAGAACAAAAAGCACGGAATGATGAGCGCAGCGGCGTCACTGGGTATGATCATGCTTTGGAATGTTGAAGAGGGCATTACGCAGATTGACAAATACCTTTATTCGGGCGACGAATTTGTCAAAGCTGGCGCTATCCTCGGTGTTGGTGTTGTCAGCGCCGGTATCCGCAATGACTGCGATCCGGCGCTTGCGCTGTTGTCCGAGCATATCGATTCAGGAAACTGCTCCATTCGATGCGCTTCTTGTCTAGGTTTGGGCATCGCGTACGCAGGTTCAGCTCGCGAAGATGTGTCCGAGCTCTTGATTCCGGTGGTCTCCCATGCTGATGAAAACGCTGATATTCAAGAGGTGTCGTATGCTGCGCTGGCGCTTGGCATGGTTGAAGTGGGTACTTGTGACGAAGAGGCTGGAAGTGTGCTGATGCAGCGACTGATGGAGAGCTCAGACGCGGAGCTGGACTCTTCATGCGCACGTTTCCTTGCTCTTGGACTTGGGCTATTGTATCTTGGGTACGTAGTATAACGGTGTTGTTTGTAGACGAGGCTACAATGGGTTATCTGACACGCGTTTGTTGCCATTTCGTCGCACAGCCGCCAGGAGCGCGTGGAAGCTATGCTGGAAGCTGCTAAGACCATCGAGCACAAAATGTCTAAATACCTGGCTATCACGCTGGAAACGTGTGCATATGCTGGCTCAGGCAATGTGTTGAAGGTTCAGCAGCTTTTGCGGACTTGCGCTGAACACATTGAGGATCCTGGTGAGGCGCAACACCAGAGTGTTGCCGTCCTTGGCATTGCTCTGATCACGATGGGCGAAAAAATTGGTAGTGAAATGGCAATGCGGTCATTTGACCACTTGCTGCAATACGGTGAAGTGGCGGTACGCCGAGCAGTGCCTCTGGCATTTGCTCTATTGAGCGTGTCTGATCCTGAGTACGCACTGATCGACACGCTGTCGCGCCTGACCCACGATGTTGACTCGGGCGTTGCTCAAAACGCCATCCTCGCTCTTGGCCTAGTATCAGCCGGCACGAATAACTCGCGAGTGGCTGGTTTGCTTCGCCAGCTTTCCGAGTTTTACAATCGTGAGGCGAACCACCTATTTGTTGTGCGTATCGCGCAAGGCTTGCTGCACATGGGCAAGGGTCTAATGACGCTGCACCCGTTCCACTCGGACCGATTGATCATGTCTCGTGTGGCGGTCAGCGGTTTGCTGACAATTCTTCACGCTTCGCTAGATATGGAGCATACTATGTTGGACACTTCCCACTATATTCTCTACTGCATCGCTACAGCAATGCAACCCCGAATGCTCATTACGCTCGATGAGGAGCTGAATCCGCTTCCTGTCTCTGTTCGAGTCGGCCAGGCGGTACGTATTCACTTCAGTGTATGGATCTTTGATTGACGATCAGCTTTTGTTCTCACATCTCTTGCTTTGGTGCAATCGCAGGTTGAAATTGTCGGTCAGGCCGGCCGCCCGAAGTCTATTACGGGTTTCCAGACGCATACAACGCCTGTGCTGCTGAATGTAAAGGACCGCGCAGAGCTTGCAACGGACGAGTACCTCCCGCTTACGAATGTGCTAGAAGGCGTTGTCATCCTCCGAAAGAATCCGGATTATCACCCGGAGACTTGAGCAAGGATTAACGAAGGAGGTGGAACGATCCAGTCAAACAAGAAGGGGCGCTGTCATTCCGTGACCTCATTTTCAAGTAGCGATAACCAAGCCAACACACTGACTACCTTTACGCTCCTGCGTGTCCATCATTCTCTCGTCCTACGTCGTGTGTTGTGAAGCTGCTGTGAGCAAGTTGCTGGACGATAGTGGACGTAGTACGCGAAGGAACCCGTTGACATTCGTACGTACGGGTCATGTCACCTCATCTTTCGACCATTCAGTTTTGCACTCAGGTGCGAGGTTTATACGATCAAGCGACCTACTTGTCCGGACGTCATTGGTCCCGAACTTGCAGCAACAAGAGTCGCACGAAGGAAGCAGAAGGTAGATAAAGCTAGAGGACGAATGAGAAACAGTCGACCACGCCCTATAGAACGGGAAGCCGAGCTCTTAGACCGTGAAGAGACGGCCATCATGCCTCAACACTCCTGTGTAGCGCCCGAAAAGACTTGGTGCGCTCACAAATAAATCATGCGCGTGCTCAAGCAGCTCCTAAACGTCCTCGAGCATCCCAACACCTTGGAGCGTTTAGCTGCCTGGACTGACAGATTCTGGTGTATGCAATTGCAATTGCAGCAATACTCCACAAGCGAGCCGGCACATTCTTTCGCATCCCTTTTGACCTGCCACAATTAAAAACAGTAGAAAAAGACCCTACAACCAACTCCACCACATTGGCAAAAGGAAGCCTGAACCAGTCCGTGCAAAGACTTGAATGCGTGTCTATTCCTCCGTCTCCATCTCATCGGCCTTCCGCTTCTTCTGCTTCTTCTTCGCGTCCGTCTCGTCGTCAACCTCCATCTCTCCACGCGCCTCCTGCTCCATCTGTCGGATCCGCATCCTCCTCAGCACTTTGTTCGACACTTTCTTCACGACAGTCTCTCCTTTGCTCTTCAACGCACTCGCTTTCTATTGCCAGGCAGCCATACACCACACACTGTCACCCACCCAATTCGCATCCCTAACCAGCGCTCTCGAGCACACGCAGACGCACCCGCTCGCGCTTCTTCAGGAGCTTCTCCTTGCGCTGTTTCTCCCGCTCGACCTCCAGCTCATACTGGGCCTTAATCTTGTGGCGGTTGTTCTTCCTCGACATGATGGCTACACTCGAGTGCGCCCACCGCTTGATGCTCGTCAAGACCAGCAAAACACGTACCACACGATTCGCACACAAATCCAAACATGCTCGATGTACGACACACCACGTTAGCCATCCTCGTCATTTTTCCAGCTTGTTTTAGCCAATCACCGACCTTCTTTAGACTCATTGCGATGCAAGGCCGACGCCGAAGCGCGCCGACGCGGTCGCTAGCCATGTTCCTGCCTGCGCGTCTCCGGTACGCGGTTTCTTTCATGTGTATACTGTGTGTTCATAGCATTACCATCTGCTTTACATCTTTGCTGTTGTGTCATGATACCATGCGTCAATGGTCGACGAGCAGACGGACAGTAGCAGGTGTGTCACTCGGCATTTCCATTGGCGTCGCAGGGACGTTGATCGTGCTTGGAATCGAAGAGGAAGACGACAGGAAACGAAGACCTTTGGCTCTACCAGCAGACCGCAATACGTCGCAGCCCAAGGCGCTGGTTGAACACGAAGCTCTTCGCTACGGAATGCCGTCCAACTCGAATGTTTTCGTGCGGTCCGGCTACGTCGTGTCGTTTGATTACCGGTAACGATGCACGATGTAATGGACCAACGAGAATGATCCGATAGTAGTAGGAATAGTAACAGCCAATGTCTTTTGTGCTCTTAGTGACCACAGCTGCTACTGCCATTGCTGCGTGCTGTGACAGGACGCGCAATCCGTCGTGGGTGATGCAGTATTTGACAAAGAACTCGCTGCAAGTAGAGCACGAGACTGATCGAGCGAACTCCAAGTTCATGGTGGACAACAACGTTCCTGCGCAGTTCCAAGTGCATCCGAATCGATACATCAAGAGCGGCTACGACAAAGGGCATCTCGCGCCAGCTCGTATGTTGTTGGTATTGTCACAATGAAAGGGTGTGTTCGTTGTCAGCACGCGCGTGCTGACTGCGCTGCGTTGCGTGTAGGTGATATGAGCCATTCGCAGCAAGCCATGGACGAGAGTTTCCTGATGACGAACATGTCGCCACAGGTCGGTGTGGGCTTCAACCGCGGGTACTGGGCACGCCTTGAAGGGTTTGTACGGCACCTGGCCGGTCAGTATGACGCCGTTTATGTCATCACAGGACCTCTGTTTTTACCCAAGGTGATGCATCATGCTCACTTGGCACGTGTTTGTATTTGTTGCTGATGCACTTCGTATCTTGGCCATCCAGAAAAACAAACGAACTGGAGAATATGAGGTTTCGTACCCTGTGCTAGGTGCTCCGCCGAATGCCATGGCTGTGCCAACCCACTTTTTCAAAGTGGTGCTGGGTGAGCACCGAGGCAAGCAATCTTTTGCCGCAGCCGGCTTTGTTTTGCCGAACAAGGTCATCCCCGAAAACAAGGACCTTCTCGACTTTCAGGCTCCGCTAGATGTTATCGAGAAGCAGGCTGGTCTGCTCTTTTTCGACAAGGTAATGCGTAGATTCTAGGTGGCTTTGTAAGCGCGGATACTCATGTAGACTCTGGTGTTGCCGCAGCTCGACGGTGTTGAGAAGATGGATTTGTGCAGCGTGAGCAAGTGCGGGATAGTTGCGGCTTACCGCAAGGCTTCTTCCGTCAAATCACGCTGACAACAATTGCGATTGTACAAACCGGGATGTTTCAACCAATGTGATTCAACCCGCTTTACTACGTGAAAGCATTCGTCATGATGACTTGCACGAACGGTTTTGTTATTTTCACCGGCCGACCACGGGGACAATATGCACGAGTCCGACGATGTGGACGTATTGGTAGCACCCACAATCAGCTCTCGAAATAGACACACATATGCATCACGGTCGTCCTGCATCGTTGATTCATGACTGGAATCGAATACGGCAGCAGACTTTTCGTGGAAAATGCTTGCTGTAGCGATACCCGATCTCCGCAACTCAAATAACGTGAACCCTGCGGCAAGGCTGACAGACATTTCAATACACCAGTGAAGAATGTCCGTCAACCTTCTCGCTGTGTACCCGATTGCTCCCTCAACCTCGTCTATTGGCGACGCATCATATCACACTTGCCTCAACTCTGTTGCAGGTCGCAACAGCATCGTTCAGCTCGCTATAGTGCCGAGACAATCGTGAAGAATCAGTGACCTCAGCCCAAGTCCATACACGCGATTCTCGTTGCAGTATCATCAAGTGCAAACACGATAGATCCGGGGAGAAAAAGGAGCTGGCGTCTGGCACGTATTGCCTGAACATCAGGTAAGCCAAGATTCGTGGCCCAACGCCACGTACAGTATTTTCACTGATGGCCGCTCTCTAGCTGCTTCGACGTTGCCCCGCACCTTTTCCACTCTGTAAATGAGGCAGGTGTCCGCTGTTCTGCGATGAACTGCTAGCCAACCTAAAGTCTGTCTCACTCACGGTACTCTCTCTCTCTCTCTCTGCACAACGAACTTAGCAGCATCGGGACGCCACATAGGACAATCCACGCGCTCACCTTCTGGTGTCAAAGATGTCAGCATCTCTTGAATTCGACTGAAGCGTGCGACTAACGCTTGCCTTTTCCAACTCGATCACCTATGAATGACGCACTAAACAAGACCTCGGGTGCGCGACTTTGCCTTTGCAGCTTATTTCTCTTAGTCTCAATGCTTATCTTCTTCACGTACACTCTATGAAGGCACTCGATCTTCGATCACGTGATCTATCATTCTCACTTCCGAGCTTGTCCGTATTGGAACTATCGTTGATCTCCCTGGCTGTCAGAATTGTCAAAAGAGCTTTATTCTGACTGTCAGAATTATTCTAAAGAGCTACTCTGACTGTCAGGATCGTCAAAAAAGCAGCTCTGACTGTCAGAATTGTCAAAAGTCTAGGTCTCGGTTGCCGCTTGTCATTGTTTTTCACACTTACTCTTTATCGATTGGTAGTAATTATGCAATCGTAACCACACCAATTTGAGCGAATCACCGCTTGGAATAGCGCCCTCCCCAATTGAAGTGTCGATACAGTAGCTCCATTGGCGTCATGAGCCTAAATGAACACGACGTGGTCTTGTCAGGACTCATGGACATGGAGGAGACGCCGCCACCTACAAGGCCACCACCAGTATCCAAGGCACTGAATTTACAGCAAACTGAGGTCGTGGCAAAGCGAAACCAGTCCAAGTACGACTTTGTGAAAGTGCGCGTGTGGGTGGAGGACCACGTTTACGTCTTGTCGCGCTATTTGCTGTGTCGCGCACTGGTTAGTGCTAAGGTACTGATAGGGCTCCGAATTTTGTATAGAAACGAATTCAAAGTTGGTCACATGTGTTACGATAAATGTACTATTTTTAGATCAATTCGAGGGACGCGGTGCAAATTTCGCTCGACTTGAAAAGGGTCAGAATAGACAACACTGAAACGAGGTGTTATTCGCTTTTGTGATGGCTACAGGAGCTTACAATGTCAGGAGGATGGGGTTATGGTTGACCTTCTGTAGACGCTGGTGGACTTGAACGTCACAGATATCGGCCAGGAGCAATTTGAGGACTTTCTGTATAAGACAATGTTAGTGTTCGGGTATGGTGAACCACAGATCTCGTGTTACAGGATGATGTCCAGGTACGCCGATATGAAGCAATTGCCAAGTCGTCATTTGATGCTGGACGCTAACGACAAGTGGTTGTGCTTTTCATCGGGACGTTTTTCGGCCAGCTTTCATCGCAATCGGGTCCCGCTGCTCATCATGCTGGCAGGAACTGCCTGTATTGGAAAATCCACCTTAGCAACAAAAGTGCGGCATTCTGTGCGCATGTCTCTGCAATGCCAAGAGGGATGCTAACGCTATGCTACACCTTCGTTGAATGTGGATGCAGCTGGCTGACCGCCTGAATCTTTCGAGCGTCTTGCAGACGGACCTTATTTTTGAGCTCATGTGTAACTTTTCAGGGTACGTTTATGATTGATTTTGCCAATGCAATATCATCGAAGCCTGAAGTACGTATTAATCAAGCTATGATGAACTTATGCATCACGCTGGCTTGCAGGCAAGAAAAGACTTCGTATATTACGACGACTTTTTCGTCAACCGACGATCTCATTGGGGAATATCAGAAAGAGTGTCAGGTGGTGCGCAAAGGTGTCGAGTCCGATATCAATAAGTGTCTGAAGGATGGAAAGTCGCTCATTATTGAGGGTTTCCACATCGACCCGCGCTTGTACCAGAAAACGATCAGTGTATCCGAGAAGGACAGCAGTGCCGCCACTTGTTCAGGCATCGTCGTGCCCTTCCTGCTTACGCTGGATGAAGCCGATCATCACAACTTTATGACGAATTCGCCTGACCCGCGATACCGCGGCGACCAAAGTGCGATCGGTTTCCACAACTTGCAGGACGTGCAGAAGTATTTAGTGTCGCACAGTCAGGAAGAAGCAATGCTTCCGTTCACCGAGATTCGCATTGACCTCCACTCGTTTCACGGCACACTGGACCACCTCCACGATGTTGTACTTGCACGCATCAAGGAGGTGTTTGTGAGTATCACGTCAGCTTAAGTCAAGTCGGACACAGCGACTTTGTCCGCTTTCGTGTGGCGTATTGCATAAATCCTCTTCGATGCTAATATTGTCTTTACCAGGTGCCTAGTCCACCCATAATGTGCATTCTGACTACGGTGCATGCTTATGTACTACAATGCGCCTGCCAACAACTTTAAAATGTTGTTAATGTATCCTAATTTAGCTATCGCACACTCCTTTTTACGTTACAAAGCCCAAGTGAAGGCACACAAACTTGTCGTGGTAACGCGGTGAGGCGTTTCAAGCATTTGATCGAGCATTTGCATGATGTCGAATGTTCAAAACGCATTCGACATCCTGCAAATGCTCGATGTATGTGTGCTACATCTAGAGCTACTTGTGGCGGCTCATTACAATAAATGTATCGGCGAGCAGAGCATGCAAAAGAATTCACACTCGGTAGTGTGTGTGACGACTGTCTAACAAATGGACACTGGGTCGTACTGCCTCTACGTATTGTTGTGCTTGCTCTGCTTCTATCACGATTGCATCGATGTATCAACTATTCCCTTCCATGAAATTGTGCCTATAAGCTGTAAGATCAGCCTTTACCGGTGATCCCTACCGTGCCATTGTCAATGCAGTGTCCTCTCTCCTCGCGGTACCACTGTAGTAAAAGTACCTTGAGATCGAGACTTGCAGATCACAGTCACACGAGCTAATTAGAAACGACAGAAATCGGTCACCGTAGCTAGTCGCATAATAAGAGCGCGTTTCCCCTCTCAAGTTGCAACCGACCGACCATTCCGCATCGAAATCAGCGGCACTTCAAGTTTGTATCGGATCTTGCCAAACACGACGCCGAGTGCGCGCACGGCAACGAAGAAAAGCAACAAGCGCCACAACCTGACAACAGCATCATGTCATTACTAAAGACTTCTGCGGTACGTATACGTATGGCCCGTGCGCACCCCATATTGTATCCCAGACATATCTGTGCAGGCGCCCGCCCATTGCCTCTTCAACTCGCTCGCAAGTCTCATCAAAAATGGCTACACTTGTGCAGGTTGACTTTAAGCAAGAATGGAGCGCAATGGAGCCGCTACTGGCGTCGCTAGTCACAGGGACGCCCCAGACCCTCACGAACGAGACGTGGCTCAAGATGTATTCGTACGTGGCGTAACGTGACGTTGTTGTGCTTTCAACGGGACAGAAAACGTGCAGTTGTCATTGGCAGTCCCTAACCCTATTTTGTGATGGCTTCTTCTTTTTGTACCCATAGCGGCATCTACAAGATCTGCACCAACCCTGGAGCGCCACAAGCCGAGACGCTGTTCTTCCGCCTGCGACGGCTGCTGGTGACGCACGTCGAGTCGGTCATCAGCGAACTGCAGGCAATCGACGGCGAGCCGGCGTTTCTACGTCGCTATTGCAGTGCGTTCGAGTCGTTTGTGACCGGGACGACGTACATCTCGGAGCTTTGCCGCTATTTGGTTCGTGACTGACGGAGCGCGGCTGGGAGACTGGACACACGGGAGAGAGAGAGAGAGCTACTGACGCTCGTCGGTTGTTGCTGTTGTTGTTGTGTGTTGTGTGGGAGGCAGAACCGCTACTGGATCTCGTATTCGCACTGTGAGACGGGACACGCGCCTGTTCCCGGCGTGTACACGGTGACCGAGGTCCGTGCAACTCTTTTAGTAGCTGGTGTTGAGTAGTAGAGCTGGAGAGACGTGGAACGCTGAGTGCATCGGCGTGTGTATACATGTATACGTGTTTGGCTGTACGTGTGCACCAGCTGTCGCTTCATTTGTGGCACGATATTGCGTTCTCGAAGCTCAAAAAGCGCGTCGTGAAGGCAGTTATTTGCATTTTCCATACCGCACGACGGGACCGAAGCGCGTGCTTTGAAGATGGGGACTGCATTGCCCGCACAGTGGAGGTTGGTGTTGTGCTGTTTGCTCGGGTGGTTTCAGGGGGTTATCTGTGTGGTGCAACTTGTTAACTTAGGTGTGGACCTGTCGTAGACATTCTTTAGTCTAGGGCTGTGCAGACAGGACCAGATGAGTCTCTATCGAGAAGAACTGGAGCAGCCGTTTCTAGAGGTGCGGTTTGTAGCGTTGATGTCGGTTAGCGACAAGAAGAAGTGGGCTTAGCTACAGTGTTTCCGCTGCAATGTGCAGGATACAATACGGTACTTTGCCGCAGAGGCGACGGAGCTCTTATCCCGCGTAACGATCTCCGAATACTTGCGAGAAGCTGAACTGTTCTGTACACAAGAGCAGAAACGTTGCGAAGACCGATTGCATCGAACGTGAGCCATATTGATCCTCCTGCAACTGTATCGTCATGTGTGACAGGTCTAATGCATGTAATACGACCTCTTTGCTGCGCTCTGCAGCACTGTTACTCAACTACGACAAGTGTGCTGCCATGTCTTGGTAGATGAGCATGCTGATCAGATCTGCGAGGATGCTGAGGCTTTCTTGATCAACAATCGGAAGGACGATCTGCGCCGCTTGTTTTCTCTTTTTTCGGAGCTGACGAATGAGAACGCACTGATGTCTTTTAAGGTAAGGTTGGGACCTAATCACATCAAGGCATGTCGCTTGTATTGACCGTCAAACGCTGTATGATGCCTCGATAGAATATCCTGAAGAAGTATATTGAGCGGAGCGGCCTCGAGGTGGTGCAAAAGTTCCAGCAAGATGACGCCACCAAAGATCCTGAGGGCTATATTGAAGCCCTGGTGCAAGTTCGAAATAAATACTTTGATTTGATCAAAGACGCGTTCGGCTACCACCCTCTCATGCGGACTGCACTTGACCAGGTTGGCAGCTTACTTCTATAATACCCATACTGTCACCACCACTGTTATTCTTACGGTGAAAGATGTAACTGCTTTTTGTGAGCCAGGCGTGCCGGACCTTTGCAAATTCTCATCCTAGGCTTCCTGAACTATTAGCAAAGTATACGCACTACCTGATGTCACGTGATAAGAAGCGGGGAGCTAGCCGAGCACTACTTCTGCCAGGATCACCAAGACTGATGCCACTTCCGGACGATATGTTGGAGCAGAAAATCGAAAACATCAGTATCGTATTTTGCCTGATCGACGACAAGGACATTTTCAAGAAGTACTACTCCAAGTTCTTGGCAAAGCGGCTCATTAAAGGTGATTGCACTTGTGTGTTGCATGTTTTTTTGTTCATCAAGATCTGGTGCTCAGTCATTAACCCCATGATTCTCTGTACACACTTTTTACGCAGGCACTTCGGTTTCAAGCGATATGGAAATCTTGCTGGTTCAGAAGCTGCGCAATACTTGCGGAGGCGATTTCGTATCTAAACTGCAGAAGATGCTGAAGGATAAAATGTTGAGCAAGGTATGTGCACATGTCGTTGATCGTAATCCGTGATATCGATCAATCGGTCTCGTGAGGAAGCTGACGCATGCTTGTTGTATGATAGGAACTGGCGGATTCTTTCACTGCTTGGGTCGAAGAAAAAGACATCGAGTTGCGTGCTGAGGACGCCGCGAACGCTTCCGCTATTGATTTGCACCACGCCGTAACTTATCACTGTGACATTCTTACAGCCGGAGCTTGGCCCATATCAAGTGCAGTCGCCGAGCGCAAGATCGTTTTGCCGCCTGCCATGGAAGCACATACGCGTCTGTTCACGAAGTTCTACACTGGAAGGAGTACCGGACGAAAGCTTTTGTGGGTTCACAATCTTTCGTTCGGGATGATTCAAAGCCATTGCTTTGATAAATGCTACGAGCTTTTACTGAGCTTTTATCAGATGCTAATTCTCGTACAGGTAGTCATTGTCTATTGTCCGATGAGGGAGGTGTAGCATGTTGCTAACGTCTGCTGTCCAGTTTAACAACGCAAAGGAGATCAAGCAGTCCGAGATCAGCCAGCGAACCAACATCTCGGAGCAAGAATGTACACACCACATGGCTAGTCTTGTCAAGGTGTGTTTGTACTAGAAACGAATGCGATGGACGACATTTGTTGACCCTTTACCATTCGCAGGCAAAGGTGCTTACGTCAGACGGTGCTACGGACCCGACGTATACAATAAACTTTGGCTTCACCAGTCGAAAACTTCGAATCTCAGTACGATACCTCCTGACGCGTCACTGCCTATTGCTACCGCGTCCTAACATTAGCATGTAACCCCAGGCTATTCCAAGTACTCCAGTCGAGCCCCCAAAGGCACCCCGAGTTCCAGCCCATGAGATTGAAGATGATCGCAAGATGTCGCTGCAAGCTGCCATCGTGCGTGTTCTCAAAACACGTCGTGAGATCCATCAAGCCCAACTGATACAAGAAGTTACCGAGATGCTGATTCACCAGTTCGTGCCCACCATAAGTGCAATCAAGCAGAATGTCGAGATTCTCGTGCAGAAAGAGTATTTGCGCCGTCACGAAGTCGACCAGGCCAGGTACATTTACGTGGCCTAAGCCCGAAGCAGACAAGGTGTTGTAAAAACCGGAGGAGCTCATTATGCAGCTAGTAAGACTAAATTTCTGCTATGCGAAATCCATCAAGTTAGCACACGACCAGCGTACACTTTCCGTAGCCGTACTTTGTTTTGTACTTGTCGAAAAGGCAGACAAGCTCTTGCTCGTATTGCGCATGCAACTTCTCGATCAGCTCAGCGCTCGGGTCATCCATCATTTTGACAGGAATGGGCTTACCAAAGACCATATTGACCGCCACTCCTTCGTGAGGCAGCCAAAAGCGCCATTTCGAGCGCCCGAAACCAAGCAGCAACGCCACCGAGAACTTTTTTGCTACTGCTTGGCGAAAGGACAACAGCGTCCTAGCGTCAGAAAGAAACACGACGGACAACCACAAGTGAAAACCCAATTGGACGGCAATGATTCAGGACGACAAACTTACTTGGAGTGCGAGAAGAGATCCGTCTCTCCAAAGGCATAACTCGGTACAATCGGCACACCGTACTTGAGCGCCAAGCGGATATGTCCCTTGCGTTTCTTGACGTAGATCGTATGGTCTCCCCGTTGAGACAGCATCTGCTCTGCAATCCCTCCCACTAGAATCGCCAGACTCTTGCCATCTTGAAGCATCTATCCCATAGAGTTCTCGCATCAGTGACCACAACCATCACCCTCCTCATGCTTTCTCGCGTGCAATCAATCACCTTTTCTGCCACACTGCGTCGAGCATCGACACAGCCAGACCACAGCATATAGTCCCGGTAGAGTGGCACACGGAAGCAGATAGACGCGGCCAAATGGCGTCGCCGTGAGAGGGGGACTGTCTCATAAAAGGCTGTGAAAAAAACAGAAAAAGAACACATGAACAGGTTGAGTCCATGAAAATGTTGATAGAAATGACCAATGTACCCATCTCGAGCAGGACGTGTTGACGTACGTGGCGACGTCTGACCCGACAAAAGGAGCCCATGGTGAGCCGACAAGAGTCCGTGCGGGTGCGAGCAGAAAATGTACTGCGTCCTGGTATCAAGAGGCTCCTCGAATTCCAGCGTCCCGGATACGTGTCCCATGCAGCGTCCAATGAACACGGCGAACCACGGCCAGCAGCGCTCTCCCGTGTATTCGGATCCGTCAAAGTACGACGGGAGATAGGCGCCAACGCAAGCCGCTGCGACGGTCATGCTCCAGTGCACGTGGAGAGCGACGCAGAAGGCGACAACTGCCACGGTGAGAGCGGCACTGGTCGCCCATGTGCGAGGACGTCCGCCCATGAGCTCGGCGATGCAGCTCAAGTAGGGGACTGCAAAGGTACCATGGTGTACCAGTGTAGAGCCGATGTGTGTGTGGGTGGGTTTTGTGTGGAGATTGAAGTGACCGTGGCGATTGTCGCTTGAATGTAGTCAGCCAGTCAAACGAGTCTCGGTGCATTCGAATGGTTAATTTTTTACAGCATCGAAAAGATCATCTACATTTACTAAGAAGATCATCTACATTTGCGTGTTTTTATCGTCCGAGTCTTGTACACACACACGATCAATCGTGCACTAGTTAGTGCCCATTAGAAATGGCGTGTTGGTGAGACGTAGTGTCACGACGAATTTTGATGGATTTTGCTGTGATCAACTTGTCCTCAACGTGTCGCTTCTTGTGTTGTTTCTAAAGCGGCACGATAATTTTAAGCCAGAAAGGTTCAAGTCACTGCCTTAAGACTCAGTATGTGTCTTCTGCTAGACAGCTAGCAAATTTTCATGAGAGACGCCATGGACCACGCATATCTTGAGCTCCAGTTGTGTGTAAATCTAGTGCCCCAATTCAGCAGTTGTACGCACCCTGTTCTGGACGTAGATCCTTGTGCTTGTTTGTCAGGCTTTTTAAATGCACAAACTGAGCTACCAAGAACTATCTCACTTCATTACAGGTAAAATTTACAAGAGGACCTACGGGCGAGTGCTGAAAAATGCCGTGCGATCAAGTATTGTCGTACAGAGCGTGCGGAAGATCGCATTGCATTTGTTGCTATCCGCTGTAAACGACGCTACAATAGACGTGCAACTCGATTGCAGCTGCAGGCATTCGAGATCGAGAGCACGCAATACGCGGACGACACATAGCGTGTTTGTTTGAATTTTACTCACTATTTTAAAATCAATGCGAGCACTGGAGGAGTGTAGCCACATGTCGATGTACGCAAGAAGTTCTATTGATGTGCTTTGTGCGAGATTGTGTCACGCGTGCGATAAATTACGGAACACAACGAAACACACGTCTGTTCATGGACGAGTCAAAGACGTCTACCTCTGTTTTATTACGCTGAAGTACACGAGAAGTAACGCGACGAAGCTCTCAGCTTTTTACATCTTTGCATGTGAGTCGTCCAACAAGAAAACGCAGCAAGTCGTTAGTTATTACCTACCCCCCACGTCCTCCCCCTACTTCTCGTCAATCTATTGTCGCATCGTATGAAAAGTAGCGCAATCATCACGCTTTGTTCTCGTCGTTCTAACCAAACAGTTCCGACGTTCGTTGTCATCACCCGAGCTTTCCTCATTAATGCCCCCTCCCTCTAGTGACATGTACCCTCTTTTAGCACCACCTCCAAGTGACGAGACCCTTCCGTCCTCGAATGGCCGCCAAGTCGCTCAAGATCATGTTCCTGGGCGCGCCTGGCGCCGGCAAAGGCACGTACGCGTCCCGGATTGCGCCTATGCTGCAGATCCCCACGATTTCTACAGGCGACCTCGTGCGTCACGAGATCACGACTGGCACGGCTCTGGGCGAGAAGATTAAAGAGTTTAATCACAGCGGCAAGCTCGTGCCCGACCAGATCATTCTCGACATGATGGAGAAGCGGTTAGGGCTATTGGATGCCCAGAGAGGGTTCATTCTCGATGGGTTCCCCCGCAACGTGTCGCAGGCCAAAGCGTTCCAGCTGGTGACGGCCCTGGACCTCGTGCTGAACATTGAGCTCCCCCAGTGGATCCTCAAGGACAAGATCAGTGGCAGGAGGTCCGTGGTGTTCCGACGACTTGAAAGTCGGTGGTGAAGTAACGGTACTGATCAGGTTTGACGGGGTGTATTGCTTTTGAAAGGGTCTGTACCACATGTGGCACTGGCTACAATGTGGCGTTTATTCATCACGGAGAGTACTATATGCCTCCGTTGCTACCGAAAGTCGACGGAATCTGCGACGTGTGTGGCACGCCGTCGCTCGTCCAACGATCCGATGACAAACCAGAGACAGTGGAACACAGGTGGCTGCTATGCACGGGTGTTTGAGATACTCTTTTTTGTGGCGGTCGTTGGATTTACTGGTCTGTTTTGCTGCTGCTGCTGGTGCTGCTGGTGCTGGTGTGTAGATTGGAGGTGTACAAGCAAGAGACATTTCCGCTCGTCGATTTCTACCGGAAAGAAGGCACGTTGAAGACGTTTAAAGTGAAGAAAGGACTGGCGGATCTGGATAAACTTGTGGACCTTATTAAGAAGGAGCTGCATGTGTAGAACAAAGGATACAATGAGGCTGGAGTGGGAGACGTTGTGAGGAAGATTCACTTTGATTGCCGGATCCGCTGCTGCAGCAAACAGATTTGTACATGCCCACGGTAGGTGTGTATCCTTGCCATGGTATTGCATCGTTTGTCCGTCATTTCAGCGTCCCATCTGGGCTGAGCTGTAATCAAGCAAATGTTTCAGGCAAAAGTTAGCACGTAGAAGTCGTCGTAGAGGTACGGCTAACCGAGCAAACATCCATTGACGATCGTGTATACTTGTCACTTTGAAGCAAGTGTTCCACACTACAACCGGTCTCCGATCTTCATCTGGACTGCAGCTGCTTCACAGTATCGATGTCCAGAAACTTGAAACTCTGGAGGTCATTGATGCGACAACGATTGCAGTATCCGGCGAGTAAAATCCTCACCAAGAAAGTCACGATGTCTCGTCTTTCGTGATCAGTACCGAATGAGTATCTCTCGTTTATCGTGCTAGCTACTATAATCGCTCAACGTGGGCACCACATCCGACGCCATATTCGCACACGTCCGTGAGATCTAACGCTCAGCAATTATTTACAGTTTCTGTAAATCGCCTTCTGAGTCGCAATTGATGTCTGTACGACGTGCCAATTTGTATGGTTCGGGTCAAATTCGTTCTCGTACAACATAGCAACCATTACCAGTGTGACTGGCAGATCTCGATATCACTACCTGTTTGAGACCTGTCGGTCATTGTCACTATTGACAATACTGGACAAGTCGTTTGAAATGATGCAGCCTGGTGCAATATTTCAGGGACGACAGCGACTTAGTGTGAGCTACGCAGGTACCACAAGGAAAGCAATGCGTCCATGATGAGATGGTACACGCACCACTTTTGTAGTGGAGTGATGCCTGAGATTTTCAATGAAGCTCTCGAGGGACATTTATTGAACGTAGTCACACAAGATAAAAAGAGGTGACGGATTCTATTCGTGTGAGTAGAAAGTTTAAGATGATCGATCTGTTGAATGTGCACAAACGGATGGCTCTGAGCATAAGACACACTATCGTTCGTGTCGCTTCAAACCTCGCGGTGGCCACAAGTGCTGTGCAATCTATACAGAGCTCTAGAACAAATGAATGACTGCAGCATTGCTACCGATCGATGTGTCAGTACATTCTTCAAGCCAGGGACAAGGTCATGTGAATAGTAGATGTGTGCAAGGCGATATACAGATATTGGACGAGGTACGAGACCTCAAGTGATACGTTGGGTGGCCAAAGGCACACGCCAAGGGAACAAGGCTATGCAGTGGATGATATTGGCGACGACGGTGTGTGTTTTGCGACACTGTAATTGCACGGGAATAGGAGATGGCCTACTGAACACGAGCCTTGGCAAAGATTTACGTACAACCTAACGATGACTGCAAGCTTCAGCACCCTAACAGCTGACAATTCATGATGCGGCAGCGCGGCATTTAGTCTAGTTCGGCCTGCAAATAGCAAGCCTCTCAATGTACCTCTGTCTAAGAGGAAGTCTTGTTGTGTTTGCATCGCCGATTTGAGTATGAAGAAACTACAACAGTCGAGTTCTGCTCGTTAAATGCTCATGGTCGTAATGGTGGCCACGCATTCTGCTCGATTCTCGAACGAGCTAACTCGGTTTCGTTGTGATCCACGAGCTAAGTATCAGAGCGTGTGCGATACATTGTTTGTAACACCTACATACATGCACTCTAGGTGCGGCCACAGAAGGGCTAGACCAGCAGAGCCATGAGGTCAGAAATGCGTACAAAAGGCTGCACAGAACGAATAATCAGCAGCAGGTATGACAACAGTCCTTAGTGGCGCTGCTTTAACGTCCAATTCGATACATCGCGAGGCCTCCAGTATTACTGAACAAAGTTGCAGCAATCGCATACGACGAAGCCAGCCGGACATTGGAATGTACGGCTGGCTTATCGTATCGAGGACCTACCTACGTCTCATTTTGTCTGCTTTAGATTTTGACTGCAGGACGTGCTGCTAGAAACCGTCATGTTGGCCACTCTGCTGTGCAACATTTAGTACATCGGTTCAAGCTCAGTATTCGACGACCAGTAAACTATGAAAGCTGTCAAGTGGTGGTCTTGCTTGACCAGCTCTAGAATACGGAGGACGTACATTGCTCGATAGCCTCAGTAGTATCTCAATTTGAAGATCGCCATGTCATTCCAATGTAACAAGGATCACAAGTACAAAATAAAGCACTGTCGATATTGCAAAAGTCAGTCTTGAGTCAACCAAAGACCCTCACAATTTCGCCCAAACGCACCGGTAGTACCGAGTCATTAGATGCGGCAATGGAACAGGCAGTTCTTAATCATTTACACTGATGAATGTGCGCGACCTCATTTACACTGTGTACAATATCGGAAGCACCCACGATACAGGCTTGCACGCGGTTCGAATCGGCGTCCCACATCCTCCGAAGGGTATGGAAACTCACACCTTGCATCACACCCAAGATCCTACAAGTGGTAATCGATGCCCGTGTACTCCTCTGTGTCTTGGCCAACGGACTGTGAGTTTTCCGTACTACGTTGACGTAGAATCGAAGATGAACGACTGCCCGCGTAGTGCGAGTCCAGAGGGTTAATAGCCACGAGCTCCGAGGACGTGAGTGACCGAATGGACTGGATGTTGTGCTGCTGCTGGTCCACCTGCTGCGTGTCAACGTCCATGTGTGAGTTTTGCTGCGTAAACAGGTCCGGGTTGATGCCGTCGCCACTCACGAGATCTTCTACACCAAGAATATCAGCCATCTTGAGCTGGAAACGTGCCTGATACAACTTCGGCGGAATCGCAGACAGTCCATCTCCATCGACACCCCGAAAAGCGATCTTAAAGAGACGCTCTACACGCTTCTGGTAAGTCCAGGTCTGCAGGATGTCAATCACACCCAAGTGGTAGTAAGCTGGCCCTACAACCGTGTTTGCCATGCGCATGCCTGATCGGGGAAGTCGTCGACCAGATGAAGACGTACTACTCTCAGTACGCCCATTGCGGCTTCGATTCTTCGAATATTCACGCGGCTTTGATGCCTTGCGCGGCATCGCAGGCTCGTGAAGCATGGAGCGGCTGGGATAAGACCCCACATTTGATGACACACTGGCGTGACGTCGGCTCTTCGATAACGAAGACCTCACGGCAGACGGTCCTTTCGATCTTCCCAAATTCTGAACACCGCCACTGCGTGAGTCCATCAATGACTTCTCAGCAAATGGGTTGTACACAGAAGATCGCTGCATGTTGCTTCCAGGTCTCATGCCAAGCATACTGGATTGAAGCGTCGTATTCGCAACGTCGCTTTCCTCACCCGAGTTGTCAGCCTCGTCCACCACGTACTCAACTTCGTTAATACCCATCAACAGCGAATAGTCCATAATACCGAAGGAGCACAGGAGCTGCGAGTCTGCACAGAGTTGTTGATACAGTTCCAGCGCTACGTCACGATCGAGGTTTAGTTTCTGTGTCAAATCCGAGTCTTTCAGCACAACGTTAGGCTCGTGTCCACCTAGCCGGACCGTGCAGTTGGCATTCTCAGGGGCTGAGTTTTGGTACAAGTACTTGCGATTGCAGTGGCGGCAGGTCACCTTTTTGCCACGCTTCGGAAGATCACCGTGACGGTTCACCCATGAACCCTTGATGTCGTAACGCGAGTGGATCACCTGGTCAGTGTCGAAAAGATTCGCCATCACGACAAACGAGAACTGTTTGCTGTACAACTCGAGGCAATGGCAACCGTAGAAGCGCAATAGCAGGGAACGAGGGTTGGCGCACAAGTACTCGGCGTAATCCTGTGCAATGCTGCGGAGAAACGAACATTCCTCCTTGCTCGTACTCTTCACAATAAGCGTCCCATCGGCCGAGTAAAACATGAAAGCACCACTAGCACCTTCACTCAATCGCTCTTTTGCCGTGGCCGACAGTGCTTGCAAGTAAGCGTCGTTGTTGACGCCAAACCGTTCACGGATCTTCTTGAACGCATGCGGTTCGTAATCGTGAAACGTCTTGGTACGAGGCGAGTTCTTGGCCACACGCATAGTCTCGTCAAAAGCAGCAGCGATACCATTTGTTCCATCTCGTTCAGCACCAGTTGACATTTGCTGACGATAAGCTGCATAAGCGGCTGACGGATGGGCCGCGTTCCCGCTCTCACTAACAGCAACTGCAGTAAATGCCGCCGCAGCGGCAACGTTGGTAGCTTTTGTCTGCGGTAACAACGCCAAATGCTGGATGCGCTGTGACGCCGGCAGACGTTCAGCTGCCTGAACAGCCTGGATTATCCCCGACGTGGTGTAAAAGAGCACTTCCCGTCGCAACGCCGCGTTCACCTGCGGGTTCAGATCCACGTCAATCTCGCCAGTGTTTTCTCCAAGACAGTGCGTAAAGTGTGCGACGTGGAAATCGTTCAAAGCGAACCAGATCACGAGATCGAGGTACCCTTTCCCAGCGATCAGGAAATTCAAGAGCTCGCTCGACCTGTCCGGCTGCGAGCGGTCTCTCGACAAGAACTTGATGTACACAATGACGACAATAATCCAGTAAAAGGTCACGGCAAAGACATTGAACCTCGCGCGATTGATGCTCTGGACACGGACTGCATACGTCTCGGGCATGCCTTCACTCAGTCGCTTCCACGCCCAGATCCAGACCGCGATGCCCGAGATAATGAAGAGCCCCATCCAAATGTAGAAAAAGAGCCAGCTAATGATGTTGGCGTTCACCGCCGTGTAGCTCTCGGAAAAGTTGTCCGTGACAATGTACCCCGCGGTACAGTTGGTCAAGTCGTCCGCCTCCAAGTTCTTCAGTGCGTTCGTCCAGCACACGCCGAGATCCGAGTAGCCTGACCAGTCGTCCGTCTTCATGAGCAAGAGCCCAAGCACGAGCGGCACAAGCCACGAGCCAAGGTGGAACATGCGCGTATTGCGCTTAAAGTCCGTAAACGGGTTCGTGAGACTCAAGAGCAGGTTCAACGTCATGCAAAAGAACCAGCACTCGGACGCCAAGAGCGTAAACTCAAAGAGCCCGGCAAAGAGGTCGCACGTCGAGCTCGCGGTGCTGGCCGTGCTGCAGCCGCACTGCAAGTTGGTGCTGCTGCAGAGCGGCACGCAGTCGAAGAAGAGGCAGCGGACAAACTGCTGCGCCAGGAGCTGCAGCACGAACACGGCGTCAGCGATCGTGCGCCAGAACACGAGCGGGTTCGGGTGTTGCCGGTAGCTCGGCACGCTCGCGTACGAGAGGATGACGAAAAAGACCGAGAAGATCGAGAGCACGCCGCCCCAGATGAGGCCGGGGCTGAGGTTGTCGTACGTGCTGCCCATGGCTAAGACGAGCGCCGTGACAAAAGCTGCGAACATGACGAGCTGGAACCACCGCGTCGTGGACTGCACGCACGTGTGGAGCGTCGTGAGGCCCACGACGCGGCGGTCGAATGGCTGCTGCTCGTCGTGGTGTCGCATGCCTGCGAGGGGATGCTGGTTCCGGTCATGATGCGACGGAGGTGACGCACTGGAGGACGAAGGGACGCCACGAGATGATGGCGTGGACGATGACGAGGCGGCCGCGGCGGGGTAGGGGTGCGGGTAGGTGTGCGGGTTCGGGTAGGGGAACGAGTGTTGCGGAGGCGGGATGGGGGTCTGGCGGTGGTTGGGGGTGCGGTGCTGGTGCGGGTGGTGGTGGTGGTGGCGGCTAGGGTTGGACGCGGGTGCGCGCGCGCGCTCGTCCGACATGATGGCGCGTGGCGACTGGAGGAGCGGCACGGGGGGAGACGCGCAGAAGCGGCGACGAGTGCTGCTAGTCGTGCTGCTGGATGATGGACGGTGGGGACGGCTGCTGCGTGTGCGTGTGCGTGCTGCCCGCGGGGACTGGGCAAGTCTCGTGTGTCGTCCGCCTTCTTGATGGTGTCACCGAGGGACGCGAAACTGTCGCGACGGCGTAAAGTGGTCGATGGTGCGCGGAAAGTGGGGGTCTGACTACCAGGGGTAGGGGCGCTCTATATTTAGGAGTTTGTGGAAGGAGGGGGGGTCACGCTGACGGACGAATGAGCGACAAGAACAAGTGTGGTAAACAATGGCGGACGTGGGACAGGGGCGTCTTGAAGTCAGCGGAAATGAGGGGTAGGGCTAACGTTGTTGTGCGCGCGAATGGCTATTTTCTTCGTCGTGTTGACGAAACGGTCTAACCTCGAGTTGACCGGTTGTATTCGTTCTTTTCCTTGTACTTTGACGCACAAATTTTAATTGCACTGCAATGAAATGTATCAACAAAGAGTATGCACTTTCACTGTTGCATACTAAAGTTCGTCCGAATGTCATGGAGGACACGTGCGTCACCGGTGGAAAAGCTCGTTTTCGTATTGCAAGGATTTGCAGGGTCGTTGGCGCTAGTCATTCCCTTGGGCTCGTAGATCGTGAGATGTAAGTAAATAATGCCATTCAGTGACAAATTATATAGAAATGTGTCTTGAAGAAACGCCTGACAAAGCTCAACTAAAACCACCAGACAGCATAATTACCGGTATTGGACTTAATCGTAAAACTCATCGGTGAAACTCGTTTTTTACTCTGATCAATCCCGATTGTTATGCTAACAAAGTGTCCGCGCAAAATGATCATAAGAAATAGAAATTTGTTTGCGACCGATCACCCAGCAACTTTTGAGGCCTTCCGTCTCCATTCACAAGCAATGTAGACAGTGTCAAGAAACGTTAGCAAGGGAAACAAACGCGATGGTAGTCGTAGGAGTCAACACGTGAACGCGATATTAGTATGGGAAATACCGAGTACGCGGCCTCACATCGCGTCATGGAGTGTATATGTTACACCGCTTGCACTTGTAGCAAAGAGTGATTGAAATCGTAAACGCTCTCACCCAATCTTCGTCGCAGGATGATCGATCCTGAATAGATCAGATACTCCATCTCATAGCAATGATGATGGACCAGTAAACTTCGCGAAATCGCAATGATGACAATCACTTGGGACATCGCATGCCCAACGACTCAATAGAAACCTTCAGAAACGGACGTCGTGCGAATTTTCGTACCAAAAGGTCTCACGCGCTTCGTGCTGCTGTGCACTAGAAACTGCCAGCAATTTCTAACGACGCACGCAACACATTCGGAGTTCGTTTTTTTCGTCTACCGATCGAAGAAAAACTGATGGAGAAGAGGGAACGCTGTAGCAATGGACAGTCGTAACCTACACCTATTTACTTCAACATGCAGTGTGTAGCCAGTTTTCCCCTCCTTCACGACATCTCGTGGAACAGAAAAAGGACCAACGTCATCAACTGAAGCCATTTCAGAATCAATGGCTGACGTGACGCCCTGTGCCACTTCGTTAACTGCGACGGATCTCGAGCGGGAGCACGTGCATAAAGTGTACGACGTCATTGCACGGCACTTTAGTCACACGCGACATCATCCCTGGCCTCAAGTGACCGAGTTCTTGGCGCGATTGGCACCTCGCGCTCTCGTGGCGGACGTGGGCTGTGGCAATGGCAAGTACCTGCATGTGAATCCCTCGCTCTGTGTCATTGGAGCCGACCGCAGCATCCCATTGATGCAGATAGGAGCTACGACGAACAGGTTGGCAGCAGTAGTTCAATACAATACAATTGAAAGGGTAGCGCCTCAACGGCTGCACTAAACTTGATACGGATTGTGCTTTTCCTGCAGCAACTTGGTGGGGTGTGACGCACTGCAAGTGCCACTTCGGACTGGAGTATTTGATGCAGCCGTCTCCGTTGCTGTTCTACATCATATATCGACTAAGGAGCGTCGAGTTGCTTTGATCAGGTTGGACGGGCAATGTAATGCAGTTGCAAAGGAGATAATTGATGGCGAGTCGTCGTCATCTCTTCTCACGCGAGAAAAATGCCTTTGCTTTGCAGTGAATTGGCTCGTATCGTGCGAGTGGGCGGTCAAGTGCTGATTGTCGCTTGGGCTTTTGAGCAGGACAAGCACTCGAAACGCCGCTTTGAGCAACAGGATGTCATGGTAGAGTGGAAACTTCAGCAGAAATATGCCAAGGATGAGGAGCACGGTGATACAATCGAAGCACACGGGCAAATTGATCACGAGAAGCGCTGGGTGGTCTACAAACGGTACTGTCATGTGTATCGTAGCGGAGAGCTCGAAGCGTTGGTCGAACAGGTGCCGGGTCTTCAATTGATATCGGTCGAGTACAGTCGCTCCAACTGGTGTCTGCATCTACGGCGCGTTGCTTCCGAGACGGAACAAAACGACCTGTTGCAGTGATGATGAGCAGTGTTTCACAGCCGTCGAATAGAGGTCATGGCCTGTCACGGATTTCTGCCTACTGTCGTTTGCATCTGCAGGTAAGTTCATCAAGTCGGCACAAATTGGTGAACAAGTCAGTTTTGTAGAGTGGCTTGAGTATATATGCTGCATCGACATGCTCGTCGAGCAAAACGGCTGATCGCTTTGCTGTAAGAGATCGGTACAAGCTTGTTAGAGTCCATGCCTAAGCGATAGCAAGTTGGCGTCGAAATGAGCACCAACCGACATCTTGTCGCGAAGCAACATTCGTCTTAATCCACGCCGATCGCTTGCACGTACCATGGTTTCACGTCAGATTGAAGGTATATAACGCCGGTGGGGAGTACAGTACAGCCAGAACGAAGCAACTGCACATTGGACTAGCCATTATTCTCGGTACCTTGTAAGGAAGAAGGCACGACCTTCATAATGTCTAGTTGACAACTGGAAGCAAAGCTTGATGGACGATATGGAGACGCCTTCACATCTTCACGTTCCATTGCCGATAACCTAAAGCTTCATGGCCGAGATAAACAAAGCTAAAGTGTCAAGCACCAAGAAACACATACGACACGCATCGATGCAAGCCACAGGATGCCCAGCACTTGATTTCATCGATCATCAAACGAGTAACGGTACGTCCATGTGCAATTTGTGCATCACTCGTCAGCACTTGTCTTTTCCAGTAGAAACACCACCAAGCAGTCAAGTGCGGCAACTAGCTTTCGTCTAGCATCGATTCATGCTAGCTGCCAACTGCTATAGACCTCATGTCACCATGTGGTTGTGAAGCCGGCAAAGAGTAAATGGGACAAGGCAATTTGCGTGCTTGGTCCACTACGAGGCTCGAGTTCATGCTAGAAGGCGTACCAGTGTCAAAAGTCCAGATGAACGCATATTAAATCACCCAAGGTCCCGTGATAACAGCAGCAATCGTCAGTAAAAATGTGGCAACAGCTTGAGGCCACGTGGAGTTGCATTCAATCCCATCCAAAGCGGTTGATGCGCCAAACTTCGCCTCGCATACCATGACTATAACGACAAGCAACTGTGCTGCTGCATTGGTAGTGCATTTGATGCGTCGACATTATATCGATCCCTGCCCGGCTGCTCAAAAGTACTGACCATATCCATCTCGACCAAAGTCTTCATTCGCTGGCACTTTCGCAAGCGATGTCTGCGGCGTGGCCGTTTTCACTGCCTTGTTGACTGTGATGCCGGAAGACTGCAAGGCTTCACTCTGCTGCGACAAACGGTCATGTGACTTCCCGATACAAGCGTTTCGTGGCCGCTCACTCGAAATACGATCGATGTCCACCATCGAGAACGCAGCACTAACACTATGAGAGTCGGCTGGAGATATGAAGCTTGCTGGTTCACGCAACACTTGGTCCGCAGCAGAGCCATGACTGTAGTCGCTAGACCTTGCATGCAGAGCAGACAGCTGGAAGCAAGCGAGACCATTCGTCTTACTATTCGCTTGGTTGCCACGTGAAGACTTCGTCAAGTCCTGAGAAAAGCCCGCATGCCTACCAGGTGCAGCACCAACCGCATTGTCTTCAGCATAAGCTGGAAGTCGCACATCCAATCGATGAACGGAGCGTTCCTCAGTACGAATGTAATTGCGCGAGTGCACATCAAGGCGCTGGTCTGGCGCAAAGGCATCACCCCGCTCACGCCATCCGAGCGTGCGAGTGCACTCAGCAGGTTTCGCATGATTGATGGCTGCTCCAGCTTCAGGCCATCTGGATACAAACGGATTCTCTAGCGCTAGGCCATGGCCACAAGTGCTTCGACATCCCTGCAACCCAGGTGAAGCTTGAGTGTGAGCATCACCGGAGGTGTCGCCTCCATTTTCAGCAACCTGGCCAATGAAAGGGAGAATGCGCCCGCCCATGTATTGCTCGCGGTAAGCGGAAGGATGGCGCGCAGCTCGGTGACCCAAATCGTCATGTCGGTGATGTGCGATATCACCGTCTCGGGCCATTCCTGCACACGTGGAGAACGCAGTTTCTTCCCGAGCTTTACCGCAAACCTGTCGTGTCCTCTTGTCACCCATCTGCTCGGCACTTGACAAATATGAGGCTGTGCGTTTTCGTGACGCACTCTCGGTACTTTCGTGGTTGGTACTACAATCCGTAATAGGTGTAGAGCTGGCTATAGCTTCATGTGGAAGCAACGATAGAATGGCGGAGTGAACGTTCACCGGGAAGCACGACGACAACAGCTCTTCATCCTTAGCAATGTATCCCACAACGTCCAGCACCTACGGCATAATCTCTCCGCTTGGCAAGATAAAACACGCTCCCTTTGCAGAGTCACCAGTTTGTACACGCCACCCTCGTCGCACTAAAGTAGGGAGTGCATGATTCTCAAACAAACTGAGCACGAATTGCGCCTCGCGCTCACTGATCTGAAGCATCGTTCGGGGTCGTTCAGCACTGCTTTGGCGCTGAGCAGATGCAGGCGGTATCATAAAGTCCGGGCTAGCAGGCGATGATCTCTCTTCGCTCCTCTTACGACACAGGAGAGCAACGTCTGGTGGCATATGTGCGGGATCAGCACGCTCGATCTCGTCCTGGATCAGGATCTGCAGCGTTTGATCCACCGTCAGATCCTCTGCGTCGCCTTCAGCGTATACCACCGTATACACTGCCATCCGCTTGTCAAACTTGACCACCTGGCCCAAAAAGCGTCCTAAGCCAGCAAAAGTCTTGGCGACACGAAGTCCAATCAACTCTTCCGCCCAAATCTCTCGTCCATGAAACAAAATGCGGGCATCCAGCTGGTTGTTCGGAGAGGATGGAACAGACGACTCTTTCTCCCCCCCTACCCTGTCATGGTCTTGCACAGTCACGTCTTCAGCTGTGGGAAGCGAAATGCCTTCCTCCCGGTACTGATACGACCTTGACCTTGACCTCGCTCCAGTGATATCCCGCGTGCTTGGTACTGGTCCATCTGCTCGTCCTGTTGACTCTTCTGTCGGTGGCGTGGACACTCTCATGCTGTTCTTTGGATGACTATTGAATGGAGATGAGGTGATCAACTCACTGCCGTGTCGATGCTTTCTCAGCTGCAGCAGCGCGGCACTGCCCAAGGACAGCGAAAGGCAGTGCCTGAATCGATCGTGGTCTCTCCGGGTCGTTGTCACTCCAGCGGTCGTCGTTGTTTGCTTCACCTGATGAGTACGAGGGGCTACCAGGCGATGCAGCGCGAAACGGTCGTGTCTTGGTGCTTCTATTCTTATTCAGAGGTTTGTAGCTGCTCGAGGTATGGTCGCGAATGCCATTGGTCTGATTCTGCAAGTCGCTCGTGATGCCTCGATTCTGATTCGGTGGTGACTTACTAGTCCAATCAATCTGATTCGGCAAGTCCTCGGTGACGTTGTTCTGATTCGGCAAGTCGCCTTCGAACCAGCTGTTGCTTTGAAAGCGCCGACGGTGATTGTGGCTACTGACGACTACGGGGTTGATGGGTGCAGAAGAAAAGCCGCTGTTGCTGGATGTGGCAATCACAGTAGAGCTCGAGGACGTTAAAGCGTCGGTGACGACGGGACGGGTCGCCATCTGCCGTATAAGAGACCTTCGATCCGATCTTGGGGTCGCTCGTGCACGTGGAGAGGTCATTGGAGAAGGCGGCGGTAGGTTATTTTGGGTCAGCGCAAACAAAAACGTGTGACGAACACGGGAAAGGGGTCTGTGCGGGACGGCGGCGGTACAAGGGATGGGCGCTCGCTCCGTGCTTGTTGCGCTACGTTCGTTACAGCGTTTAGCGTGCTTTGATTATAGAGTAAGGAGGGAAGAGCTGTCATTTTCCGTAACGTATGGTGTCGACTTCCCCGGCGAGCTATAACTGTTGTGACCCCTGGGTCGCTTTACTCACTATGCCACACGGGATAACACACCCTTCATCGAGATACTCCCGTCTTTTCATTCCGCGACTTGAGCGTCTGGAATGTTGATCTGGTGGAAATATGATGCACACTCTCTATCAAAAAGGAGTGGTTCTTAAAATGAGGTCAGCTCCCGCGAAAACATGGCTCTGCCGCCACCCTGTATAAATCGGCCCCAGTCTTGCACGACATTTAGCAAATCTTCTCACTGGATTGGCGGATGTATTGACTTAAGCCTCGAGTGTCGTTAGTCTGTCACGACAGTCTACAATTTGACGAACCAAATCTGACAATACCACCACTCGAAGTTGTCACAATTAATACACAAACAAACACGTGAACACATGGCGATGAGCACGGCAGCGCCGTCCCCGCCTTACGCTTTCGCCTCTGTAGTGCCGATCATCGCATCCCTTGCTGCACTTTACTCATGGCTGCTCACTATAGTCAACCAGATCGTCCCCGGTCCCTACATGGTCGATTTTTCTCGCTCTCTTGCAATATACATTGTATCTTATCCAGATCAAGCCCTAATGAGATATTGCAATTTGTCAATAGGACGAGATTTTCCACATCCCTCAAGCTCAGAAATACTGCACCGGCCAATTTCGTGCGTAAACGGAGCTCCTCGACTACATTGCAATCGGCAGTAAGTGATTCTTGTCACCACTAACTGTTGCATCGCGTTTCAGACGAGTGGGACCCCAAGATCACGACGTTTCCAGGTCTGTACTTGGTCTCGACGCTGTACACGAATGCGCTTTCCTGGATGAACATGGGAGACCATTTCTGCTCCGTGTCGGTGCTGCGTAGTGTGAACGTGGTGTTTGCACTGGCCAATGTGGTGCTGTGCGTGCTGCTAAGACGTCACATATCGCCGCTCGACCACAACATCTTGCTCCATGCCGTGCGCGTTGCAGTGTTCCCGCCGCTGTTTTTCTTTTCGTTCCTCTTTTACACGGAAAGTGGCGCCACGTTTTTCGTGCTGCTGACGGTGTGGCTCGCAGAGAGAGTGGAGTTGTTGCAGCATCCACCGGCAAGAGGCAGCTTCGTTCTCAGTGCCATAGTAAGCAATTGGATGAGTGCTTGGGCTGCTGCTTTGATAAGTGTATTTGACTCATGAGTGCGTGGTGTCGGCTGAATGTAGAGTGGTGCAGTTGCGGTGCTTTTTCGCCAGACGAATATTGTATGGGTCGGGTTTGTGGCTGGCACGGTCGTCGTTCGGTGTGCAGAGCTTGGTCACTCAAAGTTCATTTACGGGTACGGCACTTGCGTCGTGGTTGTGGCGTAGGCCTTGCTTGAATAGTGCTCAGTTGATGATGCTATGGCCAGATCATCGAAGACAGAGTCGAGTGCTAGTATTCTCTCTCCTGCTACACACAGGTAAGGCTATGAGATCGGCTGAGCGTTACCCGATGCGCTTACTGACTATACAGGTCTATTTTCTGATGTGATTGGACGGTCTTGAGCTATTTGAGGATCTTTATGAACTTCGTGAGCGTCGCTGTATCGAATCTCCCGTCCACTCTTCTCATTGTCTGGCCATTTGTCGTGGTCGTGGCGGGTTTTGTCGTTTTCCTGATGATGAATGGCGGCATCGTTGTGGGTAAGCGTCGGTACATAGGTTCCTCACGTTCTCTACTACCGGGATGCGAACTAAGCACTAATTTGCCCTGATGCAGGAGACAAATCCAGTCACGAAGTGACTTTCCACGGAGCCCAGGTGCTATACTTTATTATTGTAGCAGCCTCAGGTTTCGGACTTAGTCTTATCGCACCCACCCAAGTGCGAGCCTTTGCTGCATCAGCTCGCAGAAACGGCAGCTCCGTCCGCGGTGTCCTGTCCATTGGCTTCATCATTGCAGCGATTCTTGGAATCATCTTCCGCTTCAGCCCCGTGCACAAGTTCATGCTTGCAGACAATAGGCATTACACCTTCTACGTCTGGAGGAAGTTCTTCCTCAAGCACGACTTGGCCAAGTTTTTACCGACACCATTGTACCTCTACTCGGGATGGCGCTGCTGGCATGAGCTAGGTAAGGCAGAAGAACTCTTGGTCAAACGGCGCGCGTTGGTCATGTAAGAAAAGCTACTGACAATCTGTTTGTTTACAGGGCGGATGCGCTCACCGCTATGGGCGCTTGTTTTTGTGTTCGCGACGTGCTTGGTCCTGATTCCATCCCCGCTGGTCGAGTACGTTTCCAACTGTGCAGTATGATTCGTATTTATCTCACACAAATTGTACCAGGCCGCGATACTTTTGCGTTCCCTTCATGATCTTCCACTTGAACACGAGCAACGTAAGCTGCATGTTTCATTTCCACTGGAGTGTCGATTGTTTTATTCTAACGTGCATGCACGTGCTGTCATTGTAGCAAGCTGCCTCTCATCTATGGGTCGTTCTTGTCGCGTACATAATGGTCAACGCACTGACGCTGTACGTGTTTCTGTACCATCCGTACGACTGGGTTGATGGATCTACTGCCCGATTTATGTGGTAAGATTGCTTACATAGCGGTAAAATAAGCTTCACTTCACTCCAAGCGTCTTTCGAATTGCGGAGTGAACGTCGCTGGATAGCAATTCACTCGCTCAGATGTTGCGAACAAATGGGACAGAACGAACGGAACGCAGTACCTGCCCATCCTCATGCTGAAGTAAGCCCACGACTCGAATCGTCTCGGTTTGTCTTTCGACGCATCGCTCGCCTGTTTTTGTCACCCGAACGACCATCACTCTGCTGCAACTTGTCCACCAGCCATTCCGCAATGCAATTGCGCACGTTGCTGACCGTGCGCCGCCTCTCGACGGCCTGTGCCCGTGCTCCTCCTCTCGCCCAACGTCACGGCCGTCGAGAGCTGCAGTTCGTGACGTCCGACGCGATCGACCACCGATTGCCGCGTGGTTTAACGGCGGCAGACGACGACGCGCGGCCCGTGAACCTCATTCAAGACGAAGAAAGTGCGCGTCGCGTCCTGGCGATCATCCAATCGCTGGGCCCTAACCACTTTCACGCGTGCGACACGGAAGTCGCCCAGATTGACGTCAAGGCCGTCGGACCCGTGGGCAATGGGATCGTTACGTGCCTCTCGCTCTACAGCGGCCCAAATGTGGACTATGGCAACGGTCCCTACGTCTGGGTCGACAACCTCGACAGCGCTGAAGGGACGCTGCAGTACTTTAAAGAGTTCCTGGGGAGCACGAGGTACAAGAAGGTCTGGCACAACTACAGCTTTGACCGCCACGTGCTGTTTAACCACGGCATTAACGTCCAAGGGCTGGGCGGAGACACGATGCACATGGCGAGACTGTGGAATACGGCGAGGTTCCAGAACGGCGGCTACTCGCTCGAAGCGTTGACGGCTGATTTGCTGCTGCAGAGGAAGAAACCCATGAAGGAGCTCTTTGGGATCCCCAAGCTCAAGAAGGACGGGTCCAAGGGGAAAGAGCGAATGATGCCGACTGTTGAGGAGCTCCAGCGGTTCCCCGAGTCTAGGAAGCGCTGGATTCGGTACAGCGTGTACGACGCCGAGAGCACGTGGTTCTTGCATCGCGTGCTGCAGGATAAACTGGACCGGACGTTTTGGTTTGAAGAGACGGCGACGAGAGACGAAAAGGAGCCGCAGCGTGGATCGATGTACGACTTTTATTGCCAGTACATTATCCCGTTTGGCGAGTGTTTGACCGACATTGAACGCAATGGCATGCACGTGGATCTCGACTACCTCGCGGGTGTCGAGAAAGTTGCACTGGAAGACCGTGCGCGTCTTGAACGACTCGTGTTGAAGTGGGCGTCGCGCTACTGCGACGAAAGTGAACGGCTGAATATCTTTAGCGCAGCACAGAAACAGCAGCTGCTGTTTGCACCGTATTTTGACAAGAAGAAGAAGCAACTTGTGCTGCCAGCTGAACGCGAGTTTGAAGTGGAGAACACGGAAGGCTACATTGAAGAAGGGAAGCTGAAAGCAAAGAAGAAGCGCAGTATCACCATTCGTGGGCTAGGCATTCCGCCAACGCATTTTACCGCGAGCGGACTTCCTGCAGCCAGTGCTGAAGTATTGAAGGAGCTGGCAGGTCATGTAAGTACGGCTGAGCAAATGCCGCATGCATTGTGGTCTCATTCATTCTGTCTATGAAATGTTGTTTCTTGTGCACAGCCCAACGCAAATCCTCCGAAGTACGGTCGGGCATACGACCATTTTGAGGATAAGGAAGAAGGTGCTGCAGCATGCGTGGCACTGAAGGCACTTTTTGACATCAGCAGCATCAACACAATGCTCAATAACTTCATTCTCCCGCTCCAGCAGCTCGCAGATAGTAACAGCCGCGTGCATTGCTCGTTGAATCTCAACACAGACACAGGGCGTTTGTCATCACGGAAGCCAAATTTGCAGAACCAACCTGCGATAGCCAAGGATCGCTACAAAATTCGCGATGGGTTCACAGCCCCGCCAGGCAAGAAGCTTATCGTGGCCGATTATTCGCAGCTGGAGTTGCGGCTTATGGCGCACATTACTCAATGCAAAGCTATGATTGTGGCATTCAGGGCTGGAGGCGACTTTCATTCACGCACGGCAATGGGAATGTATCCATATGTGGCGAAGGCGGTGGAGAACGGTGGGGCACTTTTGGAATGGGATTATTCTGGCGGCGAGGAACCCCCGGCACCGTTACTGAAGGACAAGTTTGGCAACGAGCGCCAGAATGCCAAGGTGCTCAATTTTTCGATAGCTTACGGTAAGACTGCATTCGGTCTGTCAAAAGATTTCAACGTTTCTCGTAAAGAAGCAGCGGAGACTTTGGAAAAGTGGTACGCGGACCGAGCGGAAGTGCGTGACTGGCAGAAGCAAGCCATTCACACGGCCCGAACATGCGGCTACACTCGCACGCTACTGGGGCGGTATCGTCGGCTTCCCGACGCCATGCTGACTGATGACAGCGTGGCATCGAAGAAATCTCGAGGTCACGCAGAGCGTGCTGCCATCAACACTCCGATCCAAGGTGCGGCTGCCGATGTCGTGATGCAAGCTATGCTTCTTGTGCATCAGAACCCGAGGCTGCGCCAACTTGGTTGGAAGATGGTATCTCAAATCCATGATGAGATCATTGTGGAGGGACCCGAGGAGTCGGTAGATGAGGCGATGAAAATTGTTGTGTATTTGATGGAGAACCCGTTCGAAAAGCCTCTATCTGTAGACCTGCTGGTGGATGCTAAGGTGGATGATTCCTGGTTTAAGGCCAAATAGGCGTCCGTTGAGACGTTGTCGATGAAAGTACAGTATAGGTGTGTGCCATCGTGGGAGCTGGGACCTGGCCATGAGCAGGTTCCTCGATCGGCCCAACGGCCTTGTCGATCCAACTGCCGAATCCGTCTCGTGCGAAACCAGTCAGTTGGTGAACAGACTCTTTGTGTAGGCCTTCAGTTCGCACGCGAGAACTGGTGATGTATGCTTCGTATGTCGGAGAACAGTACAATTGGACCACAGTGAGCGCTATCTTGTGCTTAGCTCTCATCTTTGGGTATTTGGCGATACCTTCAGCGCAAACCCGAGCGGTACTGCGACTGCCTAGACCGTCGGGTTACTTGCCTATTTTGGGGAACACTCTGGTTATAGCTAGTGTGCAGCTTTCTGGACGCTTTCATGATTGGGTTTCTGACATCTGTCGTAAGAACCAAGGGAGACCTTGGTGTATGCATGTCCTTGGCAAGGCGCCGACTGTGTTTCTGTGCACACCTGAAGACTTTGAGGATGTTCAGAAGACGCAATATGAAGCTTTTGGTAAGAATCCTCTCTTTGTTGAGGCCGCAACTGACGTGCTCGGGCAAGGAGTGTTTGCGATTAGTGGCCCGTTGTGGTATCACCAACGCAAGGTCGCGAGTCGCTTATTCTCGACGCAAATGATTCAGCACAATATGGACGTGGTGGTGTCGGAGAAATGTAAACAGCTGATGAGGAGTCTGGATCTAGCTAGCTGGCGTGAAAACTCGACGAATGGTGTGGTGAGGTTGAAGTGGATGCTGGATTTGTTCACAATGGACGTGTTTTGCAAGGTCGGTTTTGGGATCGAGATGCAAGGCATGGAAAGGCAGCCGATAATTGCCATGTTGGAGGCATTGCAGAGATCTTCCGCCCGGATTGTCGGACGTATCCTAGAGCCCAGTTGGAGCTGGAAGTTCAGACGTTACTTACGTTTTGGCGCTGAGAAGCAGTTTGCGAGCGATATGAAGCGTGTGAATGACATGCTTTACAAATTCATCGCACGTTCAATGAAAGAAAAGGCTAGTCGTGACGCTGGCAGCCACGATGACTCGGATTCTCGAATGGATCTTATCTCGCTACACCTTGAGCAAGAAGCTGCTGATAACGGAAAGGATGGAGAGATACTTCCAAAGAAGTTGCGTGATTTCCTCGTAAGTTTCTTAGCGGCGGGACAAGATACCACGGCGACCGCAATGTCCTGGTTCGTCGTGATGATGAATCGATACCCGAAGGTACTCGAACGCGTGCGCGAGGAAATACGCGACAAACTGCCTGATCTTGCAAACGGTAAACAGCTGGTGCCGAGCCTCCACGAGGCTCAGCTATCTAGTGTACTTGGATGCAGCCGTTAGAGAAACCCTACGTCTGTTTCCTGTTGCACCTATCAGTGGTCGCACGGCAACGCGAGATGTGACGATGTCCAACGGGCTCTTTCTCGTCAAAGGCACGTCGGTGCATATGCCGCATTATGCAATGGGCCGAATGGGGTCTGTCTGGGGCCCCGATGCAGACGAGTTCAAACCAGAGCGGTGGATTGACTCTAGTTCAGGAAAGGTGAGTGCAGTGTCTTCGTTCAAGTTTAGTGCATTCTATGGGGGACCACACGCGTGTTTGGGAATGAAGTTCGCGATGTCCGAGATCAAGATTACGCTCGCTGCTCTGCTCAGTCGCTATGACTTTGAGACATTGCGAGACCCGTTCGACTATACGTACCGGATGGCACTGTCGTTGAGAATTGACGGCGACCTAAATGTTGCAGTGTCTCAGTTGACGGAACAAACGCAGCAAGAGGTGCCGGAGAGATCGAGAAGCAGCGCGAGTTAGCACTGTTGAAAACGGACTCGTTTTATCCACATGAACTAGTTCATTATGGGGAAAGTGAAGCCACGCGAGTACGAGCAGTTCTTTGCAACCAGTATTCATTCGGTCCCATCAGTTCATCAGGTGTTAAGATCTGCAATCAATCGATAGGGTCATTCCGCTTGCCACACGTTTGTCGTCAATTTCGATCTCGTCTGTGTAGACTGAGTCAAAGGAACGTGCGACGGAAGTTGGTCAGAATGAGGGACGCGTTGAGATCTCCCCATCTATTCGTTTTCGATTCAAACAATGTAAGTCGGAAGGAGAGACCATCATAATATGAGTCTCTCCTCGATTGACTGTTTCTTTCACTGTTTTGTGCATCGGTTCACGTCCAGAACAATGTCATCTTTCGCAAAAAAACTGTCGTCCAAAACAACTGTTTTACAAGCAGCAAAAGAGCTCTCTGAAGTAACAAACATTCGAGCTTTTGTCGAAGAAGCTACACCAACCGACCCGAACCCAACCTCACCTTGGCCACAACCATTTCCCACACTCACTTGCTCGCTCGCGATTGGCCAAAACGCGGTCACACGTCCACACCAGACGAGACCAAGGTGCAGCGCGGAGCCATGGCGGACTCGCTCCAGAGCGTGCGCATACTGCTCAGCTCGACGTGTTTCTTTGCACTCCTTTTCTACGCTGCCAACCGCTTGTCGGACCGCTTTGTCAAAGTCTATCGCGACTTTTCCATCCCCGAGCAGGGCGACTGGTGCTCCCGGTACCTATTTTTTTAATTTCACAATTTCTTATTTTCATATTATTATCAAAAATTGACATACAGCATCGTAAAAAACAATAAACAAATCGCATGAATAATTGTTGATTCTACTAAGTGTCTACCTCTGTGTGTCGATTTGTCCGTGTGGTCTACGGCAGAGTAAACTCCACGATCCACGCTCTGATGATCACGACTGGGATGGCGTACAGTTTTATGCAGCAAAGCTGGGACGAAGACTTGCTGCCTACTAAAGAGATGCCCATGTACTTGGCGTCGACGCTCTTTTCCTTCTGTACGTCATTGTGAAGTAGCAGCAACAGTGTAACAGTTGTTGCGACAGTCGCTAATGAGTCATCTGGATGTTGTCGCAGCGTGTGGCTACTTTCTCTTTGATTTGTTTGTGCTGGTGCTGTGGCAAGTGCCGCTCTGGAGGGTCTTTGTCATTCACCACGTCGTCGCTGTGTGCGTCCTTTACACATGATGATTGCTGCATGAAGTGCAAGTGCCGATGTGACTTGTTTGCTTGCTCTCTCGGTGTTTGTCTATCTTTCTGTGTGTGTACAGGTTGCCGTACTTGATCTACACAATGCACGCGGGCTGCGGGATGGACCTGTACTTGCTGCAGCTCTTCCTCTTTGTCGAGTTTGCTGTCATCCCGCTGAATGTCACCACTTTTATGGAGCAGCTTGGGTTTGGCAAAAGCAAGATCCACGCCTTCTTCTTCTATTTGACGTACGTCTGCTGGTTTGTAGCTCGAGTGCTGCTGCCAATCCACAATGTCTACGTGCTGTGGACAAAGGTCATCCCCGATGCGCGAACTGCGCCACTCTGTACGGTGCCGGCAGCTTTTTGTGGTCACGTCATCTGCGCTTTCTGCGTCGGTGTCTTTGTGTTTGTGTGGACACCAGATATTCTGGCCAAGTGGCGGGTGCCAGTCCTGCAAATGGAAGAGTATCCAGACTATGAGCTCACGATGCGTCAGTCCATGACGCCGCGCTCGAACCCGATTTCGTCGCCTCCTAATGATGTTGAAAAGTGGGGCGCGAACTACGGGACTGTGTCGACTGATACCCGAGAGCCTCCTTGGATTCCGAAGTTGGTTGTATGAGAAAAGCGCGGATGCATGATGTGTACTTCAAATATGCATCTGAGTGTCTCGTTCCTTTCTCGAGGATGTGGTGCGGTCAACTGCAGCTGACGGGCTCGCGAGGAATAGGTGAAGCTCCGTATTGGGGTATTTTTATGTTGGGAGTCACGTCTGCGTGCCTGTCATCGTGTGGCCGTAAGTCGCTGCCAACGACGAACGGCAAGTGCATGCCCAGTCGCTATTTGAGCCGTGATACTGGGTAGTAGCTAAAAGCAATCGATGCCGTTACCACGAGTATCGCGTTTCAGTCAAAGTCGTCTTTCACGGCTTTGCTAGTGGATTTGGATGCATGTGGTTTGGCATGGTGCTGACTCTCGTATTGGACAGACGTTGTACACGCACTGTTGGCCTTCATTCTTGACTTCTTGTATAACGTTTGAAGCACTCGAAATATGCTAAATGCGCTTGCTAGCAGCATGTATCGCATGTCGTTGCGAGCGCAACGTCGACAACATACATTGTTGGTTCAACGTCCTTAGAAGTCTATTGTCAACAACCAAGACGTGTCTGAAGACTGGTCTTGAAGGTCAACCACGCAGCAGGTGCTCAAAGCATGGTACAAACACATCACCGCGAACCGCATGTGATAAAAACGACCTGGGTATGCAACAAACACGTCAATTGTTGTGTTTGTGTGCAGATGATACACTTCAGATCAGTTGACATGGCGAAAGGTCGCACAAGTGACGCTTTATCTAACACCAAAGGACCGTGTAGCTACAATAGAAAATTTACACGAAACTCAAGACATCGCAATGCACGACAGAACTGCTGACGAAACACACATTGATAAAGACATTAACTCTAGGCTTATACGATTGTAGATTGCCGCACTCGTCAGCACATGGATCACACATCACGTTGGATGCTGAGATGGCGCCAACAACTAAAGAAGGGACATGCTGTAGTGGATGAATTTCACATCGTACTTCCATTAAACGGTCATTTGTCTAGATAGACACCGACTATGTTCGAGTGAGAAACATTTTCGGATGAGATAGCATGGAATGTGCTTCATCCCAGTCAATAAATGTAGGGAGTCATTAGTTCGCTCACTAGTTCAGTCCAAGACGAAGGCGACGTTGCGTTTATCGTCAACAGCATCTGATTCCTATAAGCGACTTCTATCTCTTCGATCAACTCAAACTCCATTGGACATGCTCAGCGTAGCACTAACATTGAAACGCTGGCCTGGGTGATCGAAATTGATCACCCGGTTGATTTAATCGGACAACATCCGTGTCTTTTCGCACAATATCAACGTACGTCCTTGTGACTTGTTGAATGAATTTTCTGCATCCTGCCTCGATCTCTTTCCAGCTCATCGTGCATGCAAACAAAATCTCTGACACACTAAGCCAGTAAATGTATGGAACGAAGATGGTACATCGTGAAGAATCGTCGAAGTATGCGCCGCAGGGGACACGACTTGCAAGCAACTCAGCAATTGATGAAGTAGATCAATTTCAAACATGTATGGACACGGCGTGCATGCCTGACGTCGTCAGGGGCTATATTGTTTGTAGGGCGTCGGGTAACTAGCGGTACATATACCCACGATGTGCTGCTGCAAAAATGCAACATCGGGCCATTTCGTATCCCTACACGATTTTTGTGCGAGACTTATTCGTGTAAGCATGCTCTGGGGTTGGTGGTGTTGTCGATTGTTTTCGAATTAACATCCTTGTCGATTGGACGTACACAGCAGTATTGTACTGATGGCATGTAAAAGTGACGGTGGCTCTTTGCTTTACTACTCTGTCCCATTTGTTTATGAATTATCACGCGTTTGGCTCGCATTTTCGACACAGCCTGTATTTTTGACGAGCATAACACCAGTGTAAAGAGCTCATTCTGAAGCGTTTATACACCATTTAAAGCCCATTTACGTGCAGATGCCGCAAAAATAAACTAGTTTTTGTCTAATCGTTTTTAAGAGGTTTTAGTTTTTTTGACGCAGTGAAGATAAAAGGTGCTGGATATCACTCAAACAAGAAGCTTTAGCCCCAAAAGCAGCGTGACAATCTTATGAGCAGTTTCGATACAAAAAGCTGTAGAAGTGATGGAAATTGAAGTGAGGCTTTTCATCTCTGGGTTAATTTGCAAAAGATGACACGATTTGTATGTGACACCAGAACGTGACAGGATATCTTTGAAATCCAGATGCATGTCAGATTACCACACGGACGTTAATTACGTCAATGACCAGTATGTACCGGGTAAAACTCTTGGCGGTACAGGGCATCGATACCGGTGAAGGACCAGGAGGTTGATGTTGCAAGAGTAGAGATGTATGCACTCTAGCGGAGTGGTGCATGCCCCAGTATTCTGTGTTGGGAAGTCTTGGTTCGATTGAGACGTGGGTGTTGCGAAAGTTATCTCGTGACAGCTGGCAATAATGGTCTTGTACTTGTAATTGTTCGGACCTGGACATAAAAAAAGGAGTCTGTTGTAGCGCGCTTCATGACAAGCTAATAGTAGGGTGAGTTCTTTAGGTCAGACCGGTTCATCGCTGGTGGGAGAACGTTCTACCCTAGCAATAACTATGTAGTGATCGCTTCGAACAAGTCAAATGGGATTGTTCCCTGAGTGCATACATTGTCGGTTGACAAGGCGCAAACCTTCGTCTCACGAGTCACAGAATTATATTCGCAGTGTAATATGAAGAGATGACGTGATTTTTACGTTAGGCCTGAACAAGGCGGAAGGTCGTACGATTGTGTCCACTAGTGCTGGTACGCTTACTGCACTGGTACGGCCTACGCACCCGGTCGTTGGCTTTTTTTCCCGCGATCTAAGGCTTCTTTTTTCTTGAGTCTTCCCGCCTGACTAATATATTAGCTGGTGGAACGCTTAATTGCTGACAGTACTGTGATCCTCGGAAATCAGCATGGCACCGGCGGTCGTTTGATAAGTCGTGACTTGGTAGCACTGATCTGTTAGCACTGATTAGCTCAAAGATTTTCTTCGTCGCGTAGATTGCCGCGATGAGATGACGAGCTGCAATCTTCAACCTCAGCCATGTCTCGAATGAGTAAATCATTGAGCTCGTATTAACTTTTCGCTGCTTCAATGGCTAAGCGGCACGGCAGAAAAAAGGCAAATGTGTTCGTCACTGCCTACTGAGGTGTAAACTTCCGCTTGCTTCAGCTGGTCCAGAATTTGGCCTCAGCTCGAGGAGCGACCGCACGTCCTTCTTTTGATTAAAGTTGTACGAGCTGATTGCGAGCGTACACATCGCCCATAAGTATAGTTGCGTAGGTCTTGGAGCACTTGAAGGGTAATATTATTTCGGTCTCAACTTCATGCTCGGTTGCGTCTGTGTGATAAACTGAAAAAAATCTGGATTAACAAAATATCATGTAACGTTCTGGTGAAACTTTTATATTCTGTTACCTTTGCAATGATCCCTTCATGTTAATTTGGCGGAATGTGTCAAAATTGATTAAATATCGAATGATAATAGCTGATCGAAAAACACTTATTTATGATCATTTTTATGCTTGCTCGAGGCTCAGATTCGCCATTCTTTCTAAGGAATATAACCGATCAGAAACGAGCACAGGAGCTATCGGCTAAGATAAGGAAGGCGATCTACGTGAAAAAATCATCTTTTCAACATGTGGCAGCTGAAAACTGTTGTCAGCCTCAGTTTTGCAGACGAACACACACTAACAATACGTCAGAATAGCGTGTTTGTGGTGATGAAATGCCAAGCAAACCAGACTTAATAAAGAGTTGATGTTCAGCCAGTCATCATATTCCATGTAGCTCATGTAACTTTTCAGTCCGTATGCTGATACCGGTGTCTTGGCAGTTTCTATTGACGGTTTCCTGCACTCTCAGCATCGGTTCTAGCTACAACATGCATGCACCAGCTTACAACCTCTAGCTTTTTACTTGTATGCCGTTAATATGCTTATTAGTCTGATGATGGTGGTGATAGTAAGATGAATGATACTTTGTCCATCAGTAATCGATTGTGTGACACCATCGAGATGTAGCGCAAACAACTCTGCTCTGGCCACTTCTTTATTGCGTAAATCGTCCCTGCGAATGATGACCTGCGTTCAAAGCTGCTGCCGCGCGAGTCTTCTGGCAATTATCACGACAGATGTCGAATTGTTTTCATGGTGAATGTCTGAAGCCTTCATCAGAAATCGGCAAAGTACTTTGCGTTATCTTCCGGATCGATGCTCTCTGCACTGGATAGGCTTCCAATTTGATCAGGTACGCGGATTCGAGCGGCGTTGAAGTCGACTTGAGCATCATACGGTACAGCAATGGATTTGTCTTTCTTCTCCAGTAGATCCCAGCTGATATCAAGAAACCATGCATGATCCATAACCTTCGTACCGATGAAACAATCATAGCGAATGAGATTGACTTCATGTAAAAAGAACGTGTATACGTTGCTAAGACGAGACATACCTCGGTTGCTCCATTTGTACCAAGGCGCTTGTTTGGATCGATTGTCAGTAGACCTCTAACGTTTGCAAGATCCGATTAGTAGTGCACAACGAGAGTAAAGGGAAGTATCAGCTTGTACCTTATCAGCAACCGCAACTCAATACTCAGTCCCTGCTCTATCTTTTGAGATCTTTCATCAGCACCGTGGAATAAGCATTTTGCGGTGTGCGTTACGTGCTCGAAATACTCATCCATGGTACTACCGCATGGACACTTATACTCCCACGGCGGACGACCGATCACCATTTCATAGATCACAACTCCTAAGCTCCTGCGCCACATCAACAACTTGTGAGGTCGATTTTCAGCATAATCTGAAATATCCCAACTGAGCGTTTTCCTACCACCAGTCAACAGCGAAGCCATATTGCTGTCGGATTCTGATCTCAGGTGCCATGATGTAATGCGTGCCACACATCGAAAGTGTCCGCCCACCACCTTCTGCTATAACGTCAGACACTCCCCTCGCAAGTCCAAAGTCAATCACCTTGACAAATCCGTCTTTTTCGACCAACACGTTGCCACTTTTCAAATCACCGTGCAGATACCCTTGAGCATGCAGATCTTTCAGTGCCAGCACTAATTGTGCTGCGAAGTACTTAGTGACAGTTTCCGAGAACTTGCCCGTGTCTCGGTAGTTCCACACACACTCGTACAACGCGCGTCCTTCGACATATTCCAGCAGTATCAATATTTCATCTACCGTCTCAAACGACGTGAACCCTTGACACAGAAACGGACTCTTCACTTGCTGCAGAATCTGCTTTTCAGCTTCTAGACGCTTCTTCTGTTGCTCCGTAGTAACTTTAGACTTCGAAATACGTTTCAAAGCTGTATCCGCAAAACACCCATGACTCGCCATCACTAAAAATGTTCACTACGATCATCATAAACTAGAGAGCTGTGCTTCATATTGCAAGAGATATTCTTACCGTAGAGATCGCACGAGTTGGAACACTTGACGAGGTAAACACTGACAATACACAAGTACAAATTATTAGTTCTTCGGGTGTCGTATTCTACCTGCTTTTCCACCGAATCCTTAATTCTCGTTTGCAAAAGTACATCCTGCCGCTTGCTTTGTGTAATAAACGTATACATCGTATTTTCATCGTAAGATTTTGACAAATCGCACCTGGCGTAGCCTCCATGACCAAGAAGCTGGAGATGATGGTAGTTGTTCATATAGGGAAGATCGCAAAAAGTATCTTCCGTGAAATCCTTTTCCGCAATTATGGTCCGTGTCGGTAAAAACCTATTGCTTACATTCCCGAATCCGATGCTCGTAGCCAATGAAATAACCGAAAAAGAGGGTCAAATTTTACAATAACATGGCGGCCATGCGTCGACGAATGCACCGAGAGATTGCAATGCTGGAGAGCGATCCGCCCTTTGGTGTGCTACTTCTTCATTGCAAATACCTTGTAGATGCTATATAGCGTCGATTGGTGCTAAAAATCAATTGTCGTGGTGTTAACATGGCGGGTTACAGGGGTCAGCGCGTGGCCGAAAGACGACAAACTCGACCACCTCGAAGCCCGTGCGTTGTTGCTTATTATACTTTTCATATCGACGAAAGACCGAGAAAATCACGCCATTTTTTACATGTTGAATAGAAATTTTGGGTCCAGACGGGTCCCCGTACGAGAAGGGCGTGTTCCAGTTAGATATTGAAATTCCAGAACGGTACGTCCTCACGTTGGACAAGTCGCCTCCTTTGTGTGTCTTTGTGTGATTTATAACAATAGCATTTGGTTGTCGCAATGTCATTGTACCCGCTCACGTTTCTGTGCTGAGCAGCTACCCTTTTGAGCCGCCAAAGGTGTGCTTTGTTACGCCGATATACCACCCGAATATCGATGATGCTGGTCGAATCTGTCTTGACACGCTAAAAATGCAGCCGAAGGTAAAACACAGCAATCAAGTGTTTTTCTGGGCATCACAGGAGTCCGAGAAGATGGAGATTACACTGTAACGTTGTTGCTGTATTAGGGCTCCTGGCTGCCGTCCGTCAATATTAGCACATTGCTGACGACTATTCGTTTACTGATGGCGGAACCCAATGCAGATGACGGCCTGATGCCAGAAATTGTGCGACCTTGGCCGTGTGTGATTGTTTTTATTGTTGTAAAAATAATGGTGCTGACGGTGTACTATGTGTGACGAACCTTGGTCAGGCCAATACTTTCAAACACGATCGCGAGCTGTTTAACAAGAGAGCAGTGGAGTTGACGGAGCAATACGCCCGCGACACACAAGTCCGTCGACCGAAACCCACCGTCAAGGCGAGTTCTTTACCGAGCGACGGTCACGCAACGGATAGCGGCGTGGCTGATTCTGTGGCCCAAGATACTCAGACAGCAAAAGCTCTGTCTCAGCAGAACGACTCGGCGTTTTCTGACGATTCGCTTAGCGACGGCAAGTCGTCAGATGAAGGAGAGGATCATGACACAGCTGGTGATGAAGACTTCGATGCGGAGAGAGACTCCAACCCGCCCGCCAAACGGAGACGGCAAACATAGATGCTGTGCTCGTGGTGTTGACCATCGGAGTGAAATGATGCGTCTTTTATTGATCCGTTCCCGCGTCTCTGGCCCGACGCTGTTTGTGGCGCAAACCAACCCCGGTACGAATTCTGGTACTTGAGTTCGTGTATTACGGCTGCAGTTACAGTGGTGACCTGCACACAAGGACTTGACTTGAAGTCGTGCTTTGATGTGCTTCTGCAGCCTTGAATGGCTGTGTCTATGTCTTCGTACGACGAGTGCAGGTACCAGTGGAGCTTCCAGAGGTTGATGGAAAACTCTTTGCCACCTGCAGTTGTTTTGTTCCTTTGTCAGACTCCCAGTGGTATGTGGACCTCCAGCAGTGTGTCCTGCTCGCAGAGTGTAACGAGTTTGCAGTTCTCAAGACTTGACTCGGACAGTTTTTATTTTCTACAACAGCAGAAGAAAAACAAGCAAAGCCATCTCTATGCTTTGCAGATGCTCTATTCAAAGCCATTTCGTTCGCGCGAGAATTTCGAAGTAACTCATCCTAAACAGCTAACTGATGTCAATCCCACGCAAAACAAGACAGGTAATTGGCACTGGAGCACTGTCACGTTTTGAACACTCCATTACGCGCACACACTACAGCGCAGCATTCAAGAGTCAATCCGAAGATGTAAACTCTAGAAGACCGAAATTGGACCGATTACCGCTATAAAACCGCTTGGCCAACAGCATGTTTTGCGCTATCCTATCCAGTTCCAAAGTCCTTTCCTATTCAATACTCTTCTACCACTCATGTCTTCTGGTCGGACTGCTGCAGCCTTTCGCACAGAGCGATCCTTTGGTACTGAGTCTTACTCGTTAATCCGGTGCTTGCAAAGTAGCACTTGTCATGGCAAATGAGCATTTGCACAACTCGTCGCCATCGAGACGCTCGACGGCTTTGTAGCCTTCACAAGCGGACCGTATTCTGTTTTACTGGGATGGAAGTCTCGAGGCATTCCAGGCCAGGAGACCAAGGAATCGTCATATTACGAGGGCAGGCACAGACGTATACCGCTCGAGTCTTATTAATAGACTCGGTCGTACTTGGATCCGTGACGACGACGAACAATCGTCGTTTACAATGGCCTTGTCCACAGTCTGCGTCTCGCAAAATACAGCGGCCGTATTCCGATGTATAATGTTGCATCGGTGCTTACCAAGATCAAATTGTGCCGATCCCCACGCAAGGCATACCGCGCAGCACTTTTCCGTAAAGCGTGGTGACGTCACGGATGCAGGCAGATCCCAGTATGCCTGGAAGTAGACAACATGCGGACCTTGTCCGACGCTCACGAATTGTCTGCGCACAGGCATCAACAAAATGTCAATAGAGGGCTATGAGAGTTGTCGTCTGCTTTGTTGCACTAAAAGCTGCTACAGATACTGACGCGGTGTAGATAGGAACAAGATAGTGCAGGTTGATAAATTTGTTGGATGTACCTTAATAAACCGCAACAGCTTGCAAAGGTGTTCGCTCGCGCAAGCAGGAACATTGTGTAGATCAGAGACACAGCAAGCGATGGTGGTATAATTCGATTGACTCCAAGTATCTAAGCCTAATGGGATCGTACAAAGCCAATGCGGAAATCATTTACTATACTACTATTCGACGTGTAACGACGGCCATTCGAGCTCCAATATGAGCATCGTTGTTACCGAGAGCATTTTTGCTTCTCTGCTGTGACTGCGAGTAGCCCGATATCTACAATTACTTGTGATTGCTGGATGTTGTGTACGCCTCACAAAAGTCACTACCGATACGGTCTATGCGACGTCATTCGTGACCTCGCAGCCACCGTCTTCATTTTAAATCGCTTCTCAATCTAATTATTACTACCTGCTGAAATTGCATCTGCCGCATTATCATATCGGGCATCATGGCTACGACTGTAGCTGAGCTTCGGTATGCACTGAGCATTGCGCGAATCCTGGTAGCTATCAGGATTCGTGTATGAAACTACACAAGTACGACAGGTTGGCATTTGTAGGTCAGCTGTAACAGAATTCTCTACCACGAAAGGACACTTCCGACACAACTAGACGGTGCATCACAAACAATTTATACCGAGGTATCGTTTACATCCATTATGTAGGCAGCAAGTAAAAACCCACTCATCTGCAAGCAACGCAATATGCTCGAATTCGCTCGTGTCCGGAGCGTGGGGCAATGCACACATCAAGTCTCTAACTTTGAGGAGCAATCCGTAATCGAAGAATTAATCATTTGCATACATTACTCAGCAGCATGTACATTGCTCACCGACCCTTGGTACTACCACTGTCAAGTCTATGAGGCAGTACGACCCTTCGATTGAGTGTCAGTGGACTCAGTTTGTGAAAGAATATGGTCGTGCCCACCTTGACAAACTGCCAATTGAGTGCTGTTTGTAACGACGTGAGGTGCGATCAACGTCTTGGCTCATATGCATCGGTTTTTCTAGCTAATCTATGGTTCTCATGGATTGAAGCCGCAGACAGTTCTCTATCTGCTGACGCGACGTTCTCATCAGTCGTCACTTTTTCTGGATTTATATCGTAACCCGTCGTACGTCGAATCTATTCATTTGAACGATCGCGGTCAAAAACTTACGATCGCACGAAAAATTAGCAGCTCATACGATCATTTGTGGACACATGCGCGAAAAACCAACATCTCGTGGGATCGTAGGGCATCATACTCCACATATCGATGTCTCGCGCGGCCTTTTAGTGCCGTGCTCCATAGACTACGTAACGATCGTGAAATCGTTTTGCACCTAAGGCAGCACCTGCGAAGAAGCTAGATGGCTCATGCAATCCCTCAGCACCACAGAACTGTATCCTCTAAACTTAGTGTCTTTTGAAACGATCGTGTTGCATCCTGGGCAAACATGCTTCATACTGAAATAATCAGTGCAATAAGTAGCTGCCCGCCATATTGAGCACCATGCTTCGCAATGAAACAGCCACTACCTTAAGTACTTGTCCACCATCGTGGAGCAGCTGCCTCCAGCTCGTCGCCCGACGTTGCAAATTTTACGTGATCATCAACGCCTTTATCTGCAGCGTCAGTCTGTGCACTTACGTCTCGTTGTTATCGATGGATCGAAGCGGAGGGTCACCACGGATGATCGTGCAGCTGCTACTGGTCTACAGTGTCAGTTTGCTACGTATTGTCGCGATGGTAAAGTGGTTCGAGTGGATTGTGACCAAGAAGCCTCAGATTCACGGCAAGAAGCGTATGCAGCTCACTGGCAAGCAAACCAGATCCATTTACTACTGCATCTTGCGGGTCGTGGTGCCCACCGAGTGTGCGTCGTACTGGTTCGCAAAGCAGACTACTGGGTCCATACAAGGCAGTCTAAACTGGTGGACGTTTCTCGTCGAATTCGCCACGTTTATCCCCAAATCCCTACTCTTTGAAGTCATCTTTGACTTCTTCCACTTCGCGATGCATTGGACGTGCCACTACAGTCCATGGATTTACAAGAACGTCCACAAGCGTCACCACCTGCATCTCCACCCGTGCCCTCTATCGACGTATGCACAAGACGGTGTCGACTTGATTCTCACCAATGTGCTGCCGTTCTGCCTCGCGTGGAGCCTCTGCTTCTCACTGTCAGACCTCCAACTACACATGCTTTTTGCATACAAGACGTACGTGGAAGTTGCAGGTCACTCGGGCTTGGACATCAAGGGCGTGTCTTTCCCACAATTGCCGCTGCTAAACAATGTTACTGGCATTTGTTTGCGAGTACATGACCACGACCTCCACCACACTCATCAGCGCTATAATTTCGCGAAGCGGTTTTCGCTTTGGGACAAGGTCTTTCACACGTTCCGCGAGGGTGTTACACTATCACCCATGTCGCTCTAAAATTCGCAAGCAGATCAACGACCGACGTTGGAGGTTTAGCTTTCAGTCGTAAGGAAGCCTTGTCGCCAGTGGGATGATCTGTTGTCGAGATCGACGTACATCTACTTGTGCTTCAACTCATTGTCAACAGGTGTCCAAGATATTGAAATTGAGCAGAGTCTAGAATACTTCAATTTCTTGCATTAGACAACAGCGTCTCCAGCGCGCGCTGCACATGACAAAACACATGTGTAAATACCAACAAAAAGCTGCTCTTATTCAATAGTGGGCTCGTTGCCACGCGGCTCGATGACTTCAGTGCATCGTTTTCGCATTGATTTTACGATGTCGTGCATGGTTTTTTGCTCAATACCTGCAAACTCAGACGAAATAGCCGTTGTTAGATCGTTGACATTGTGATACTGCTGACCATTAGCATACACTTTCGATGCCAAGATTGACCGCGAATTTTTCGATCGGGTTCAGAGCAGGAGAACATGCTGGCCATTTCATCGCCTTCACTTGTTGATCTTCAAACATAGCCCTGCTGTCAACTCCGATTTACTCATCGATGCTTTGTCCTACCGAAATTTGTAGTCGGTACCGTAGTGTAAATATGTGAAAAAAGCTGGAAATTCGATAGCGCGTACACATGATGATCAGATGGTTGATTTTAACACAGTAAGCACTGCAATCTCAAGCTTTCCCTTTGCGCTAAATGCGGTCCAAACCATGATCAATTCACCACCGTTTTGTCTACGGATGGTCTCACGATGTGGGGAGCGCAGGTCACGCCAGTTGTTCTTTTTATCATCAGAGCCATCTATTCTGGAATTTTTTCATCCAAGAAAAGAACTGCGTCGCAAATATGCCCATCATAACGTGCCTTTTGACCCAAAGTGCCCCGCTTTCTTGTGCTCGCGTGTGAGAGGTAGGAAGTAGTCTGATTTAGCGTAGACAAGCCAGTTTACACCAAGGAGGATGCGACGGACGGTCCGTGTGGAGCACTTAATCCCCAGCTTGTCATTTAGCTGTTTGAACGTATAACTTCCCGTTTCTGCCTCTCGTACGTCGCGCCGCAAGTCGTGGCTTATAAAAAGAGTTGAACGGCATTTTGTGCTCTTTACTTTCTGAAGCTGCATATGCAGCTCGCATTTGTGCGAGAACGCTTAAGACATCACGCAATGTCTTAATTGAGTACCCGATCTTAGGCAGGCCACGGATTCTTCTCTGCTCTTCATCCGACATTTCTTTTCCTCCCGATATTACTAGCAGAATGGCATTCAACGAGCGGCCTTTCTCCCGTGTTTAACCCTGATTGTTGTATGGATCGAGGTGGCTTATCTTTTGGCCACGTCCATTTTTCGACATTTGTATAGGACACCCTACAATTTGCTGAAAACGGGTCGATCACACACGCACTTTATTAGATACACTTTCAGATCTATCATGTTCGAATAGCAGTGCTTTATTCGTAATGGTCGCTACGATATTTAAAAAAACGTGGGGTGTACTTTGCTTTTGGCCTGAAGTCTACTTGATCTGTCGCACCATTTTTTGAGTCGTGATATGATCAAGCATGTCAATTGTCTTGCGATTTCCCTTGTAGTTAGTTGGCGCCTTGTCCAGGAAGAGTAATTTTGTGCGGATCTCCTGTCGCACTGTGATTCACACCGGGTTGCTTAGTACATTTTCGATTTCAACACCTCAATCGGCGTTAAATCACTACGTGTACACATCTTGGGTGCTGAGAGTGGCCAAAGTCCAGTGCTAGCAACGCCAAAAATCATATTATCGGGTTTGGCAAGCATACCATTTTGCCACGCGCTCGATGCTGGTGAGATTGCCTGTTTCGTCGTTGAACCTCGACACATCTTCACCGATCTTGAAGCGCTTTATGGAGCAACGCAGGCTGGTCTAGAAGGGTTTGATCACGTAGACAGCTAAGGGTTGCAAGATGTGTGTGTAGTTTGGAGGAAGAAGACGTATTTTTATCCTCAGCTCGATCGCCTTCTCGACAAATGCTCTTGCTGTAGTGGCTTGCAAAGCCTTCATAGATGAGCAGCAATGGCTGATCGACGCTACTGGGTACGCTTTATGCAGAGTGTTCCAATCAACTGAACGAATATCATTTGGTTCATGAACGCCTTCGGAGCAACGGCGACTGTAACACCAGACACGATGCGCTCACGCAGGATGTCACTGGCTAAACGTTGGACGGGGATCAGGAAGCGTGGCAGAAGACACGATCAGGAGGCACTTACAAATGCGAATAGTGCCAAGTGGAAGTTCATGTAGATGCACTTTGTCCACACATCCTTCGTGTAGCGGGCACCCTTTGTTTGGGTGCCACGAAACTTCACGTACACTAGTAAGCGCAGAGGAAGCTGATCTACTTGAACGACTCGTTCAAGTAAATGTAAAAAGAGAACTGTATTTTATATAGTTAAGCTATCAATGTAACTTTAATCTTTATCTGACTACACTAAACTACGTCGTCGTTTATCGACAACCTGCTCACCACTCATTGCGCGCGTCTACCAGCGATTGGTGGCAATCTATGGTTGGTATGTCTTATATCAACCAATCTTGGAGCAGCGCATGAATATTATCCAAAAAGGGATAATAGTTCTTCAATATTCCCTATCCCGGGTTATATTGGTAGGAGATTGTCATGCTAGACAATATTCCTAATGACACAGTTTGGTGTCAATATCATGTAACGGGCTACCCCGTTACAATTTGGCCCAAGCACAGCGATGACTTTCCTTTACTTCGTTTTCCGACTAAATCCCATTTCGTCCATATTGAATACGCGGAAGCTGATAGTTTGTTCTCAATCGCTTTCTCATCATCGGATTTAAAAGTTGATCGATGTTTTCTTGTCGGGATTGTTTGCGTGCGCTAGAAATCACTTAATGGACCCTGAGTAAAAGCTTGGGGTGACGGGAATATAATCGCTTGACCCATTTGTCGCCGAGGAGGCCAGACGATCGCGCGTTACTGTAAAATATGCTGTACGCTTTGTTTGATTTGCTGAGTACCATCTCATGCGTTATAGAAGATCCTCCCGCTGTATCTTTACGGTCCAGGTAGAGAGGTCGATTCTAATTTTCTTGGGATAGACTGGGTGATGGCCTGGTTCTATTGATAGCATCACGTGAGCATTGTTGCGTAGCGCGGTGGTGGTTTGTTCTTTCAGTAATCTTGAAAATAATGTTGCGAACTGTGGCCCACGACATACCACGTTTACGAGCACTGACGGCCTTCTCGAGACCGTCTTGGCTGTAGACCTTTCTTTGTTTCACCGGGCGTTGTTGCATTATGTGATCAGCCTGCGTTTGGCGCGTATGGACGACCATAATCTGACCCATTCGTTAAACAAGCCAGCCATATATCTTAAATACATCAGCATCTAGCATCTGATTGGCTTACTGCCGATGAATGAGCCAAAAACCTGGTCGTTGGCCAAAGTCTATTCTGATACATTAGGTTAAAGTTGAATTGTGTTAACTATTGGTAGATACATATATAATTTACAGTAGTTCAGCAAAGTTAAGCTTCAAAGGTCAGGTGTAACATCGGATCAGCCGAGGATTGCGCTTGGCATCATAATTCGTTCAACGAAGCCCTATCTCACAAATTCTTACTCCCTCCATTACTACGTTTTTTCCCTTTTCAGAAAAAAATATAAAGAACATCAGTTTTTAGATTCTGATCGAATAATGCACCTCAATTAATGCTTAGTATTTGCTATTTCAGCTAGTGTTAGCGCATTATTTTCCTGATGCCGCAAGCCGAAAACTATTCATTTATCAATTCCTTTTTTGTAAAAGTTTTAATGCCAATCTCGATCGCGACCCACCGATCTTCAGAGTGCGAGGGATAAACTACATCGTAATAAAGGTTTATCACTGTGTTTGTATCTTTATTTCTAAGCAGCATGTTATAGATCGTTATTATTTTTTAAAATACACGCTTCTTTTAGCTTTAGTCACACCTATTTGCCTCTGCCATTAGTTTGTATCTTTGAACCGATAATACTATTATTATTATTATCAGCGCCAACATTAACATTCGAAGGATAGTATTTGTAAACTTTCTTTTGACTTTACAAATATTTCTTCCAGCACGGACAAACATTTCGAAACAAACATCGCTCGAAATCGGGGTAACGACCATGAAACGGAAGGATTGCTATTTCTGCACAAGCGCTACTTTTTAGGTGTCGTGTTAGTAGCAATTAGTGTATGTACATCCAGGTCAGCAATGCAAGATCGCAGATTCACAGCTGCGGAAGTGGACCCTAATTTAAATATGTGCTTTACAATGTACCGATTAAGCAGAACTTCAGCTACAATAGTCCTTCCTGATTGTGTCATCTGCGTTTCTTGAAAAAAGGATGCCCAAGGATCGTCATCACATTCAAGTTGTATCTGAAATCTTTATGCAACCAAGTCCGGGTAAGATGTTGCTCTGATGGCACGTATATCTCTTAGGCAAAGTATAAATTATGCCTTGTTTAATGAAGTCTTTGCTGCGTCCTTTGGCATTGAAAACAACAGAAAATGGTGCTACTTAATCAATCCGAATCTGTGCAGCATCGCGATGATGCTTTGTAGCAAGTTCAAAGACGTAGGGCAAGATAACTTGTGTTGGATTTCCAAATTCTGGCGCAATACATTCAATGTCTGCAACATGCTGGTGATGCACCAGTTATCGAAGGTCATTTGTGTGGTTTGGAAGAATATGGCGTCAACAAGAATCAAGTAAATGAGCTTCTTTGATTTTGTTGAAATTAGTGACTTAGACGTAGCACCTACCTGTGAACCAAGCTCTACTTAATCATCATTTCCTTTTTTACCATCATCAAGCAAATGCGTCTTTATCATTACCAACTTGCAATATAAATTTTGTGCATGAATTTTAATCTATGTCTACGGTCAAATTGAACTGAAAATATTTTTCCTGGCTAAGGTCGATCGACGCATAATGGGAATACCAAAACATTGCGAAGCAAT